TTAGATTTGTTGAACAGTATTATTACGTAGGACGTAATAATAAGTTAAAGGAAGTAAAGATGTACGATATGGTTCAATAGAACAGAAGGATGAACTAGGGACAGAAAAAAAATTGGAGCCTAAAAACATTTAAAAGTCAAATACCATCAGATATCAAGGCAAAAGTACTGAAAAATGAGAATATCCGGTAATTTTAAATGAAGTTCAGACGTGGTCTACAACCGGAAAAAAAATATGAATGCAAAATATACAATTAAAATTTTCCCGAAGCAATTGAAATGAAAGACAACAGAAGAGTCCAACATCAAGTGGAGCTTAAAACCTTATCGAAAGAAACTGTTTTGTTGAAATGGAGATGGACTGGTTGGACTCAAGAAGGAGGTCGAAAATCACCACGGAATGGATTCCAAGGAATGGCAAGAGAAGAAGAGGAGACACAAGATGGAGAGACGAAATAGTGAAAAATGTGGGTGACGGTTGGGCAACAGTGCCAAGAAATAGGGATAGTATTAATTTTTTATTGAAAGTTAATTCTGTTCTAATAAGTTCCTACCTCATAATATTGTTAGGGGATAGAAAAATTGTAAGTAAATTGTCCTGGTGTTAGAAAAATAGTTTTTGGGGCCTCAACTTACTCAGACCTCCGCCATTTTGATAAATTGTATTTGAAAATATATGAAATATTCACTAAAAAATTATGCGAAAGATATTTCGGAATTCGATTGAAACATTTTTATCAGTTCCAAACAAAAAGGAGGAGAAAATACGAAATCAATGACGGCACACGATAACTGAGTATCAATTAATTATATTAATAATATACAAATGTTTAAATTATGAATTCTTTATTCAGTTTTTTTTTCACCTAGAATATCTTTCTAATAGTTTCTTCTTCGTAAAGTTGCTTCTTTCACTTATGACCTTGGCTAGCCTGAAGACGTTTTGTAAGAATTACTTAAATTCACCAGATCAATAGACCTTCAATATTTTTTTTATCCAACCTAAATGTTTGTAACACATCTTGTTGACAAAATGAATAATTTTCGATGTGGTTTAACTCAAAAATTATTTTGCTTCCTCACTACCGAAGATAGGGAAGAATTTTATTCGTGCGAGAGGTTAAAAAAAAATGTGTGCTCAGAATCAAAATTCTCCACTCGCGTTTTTCGTTTCAGACATCAAAGATCAAATTTGGTTCGGTCTCTGTCTGTCTGTAGTCAAACTATGTGACGGGCATATCATCTACTAGATTTCATCCAATTTTCATGAAATTTCCACGGATTATGTGAGTTGGTGTCTAAATGGTGCCATATCAATTTTTTCAGATTCCATTTAGCACTTCCGCTTGCGCACGCTTAAACGTATTTTCATAGATATGCCAATATTTCAGAAACGGCTCATTTGATTTTGTTCAAAGTTGAAAGAAAGGTAGGTTTAATAAAATAATAATTCTATATCGATTATATTGAATTCCGTCATCTACTTTCTCTTATATATGCGCGAATGCGTTTTCCTTGATACGTCTATATCTCTAAAACAGCTAGTTCGATTTGGCTCAAATTTGGAGGAAAGTAAGGAATTAGTTAACAGATAATTAAGTAATTATCAATTATACCAAATTCTATCCATTAGCCTAAAAAAAAAAAAAAAAGACTTCCACTTTCGGATCAGTAAACGTATTATTGTTCCTCTAATTACATTTAACGAGACATAAAGAGCAACATACATCACTTAAGCACCATTTCATATAGGTAGTTGGTTTCTTTCTTTCTTCCGAAGTAATTATCCTAATATATGCATACAAAAAAAAAAAATATTTTGGGCTGAAGCTCGCCCAAAATTAAATTCAGGATCCGTTAGTGGAGCAAATTAACATTTTTTTCTTATTCACTTGAATGATGGGAAGATTTTTTCGGACATTCTTCCATGAAAATATTTGCTTAGAACAATAAGAAAAATTAAAAAGTTTATTGGGCGTTTAGAAGTACGCAAAAGACTTAAGGCGCCCTCGTACAATTTTTTTTATAATTTTGGTTTCAAACCTTTCTTCTTTAAAACTTAATTTTTCATTATAATTTCTACTTAAGTACTTTGATGTTTTTATTTCAGAATAATATCAAAACACAGCAATTTTCACATTCTAAATAATTTTTTATTAAATATTCCTTGTTTTTCTTACAACAAAATAATCAATCATTAATTTTTTCCTTTTGATTCCATTTTAAAAATGGGTATCTTTTTAATTTGGATATAAGTTAAATATAGGAATTGTAAACAATAGGATGTTAGATTTCAGAATACGACACCTAAACATTTAGAAATTAGCATCATTCCATCATATATTTTTTTTAAAACGATATATATTTTGCTTATCTGTCTAAGGATTTTACTTGTTGGGAATCTTCATAATATTGTTTAAATATAAACTTATAGCTGTTCATGAATATTCAGTGAAAGGAAAAACAATAAGAATTTCGAATCCTTTTGACAAATCAGTATTTATTTTCAAGTTTCTCGGTAAATTATATATTTGATTGCATTACTATTCATCTTTTCTTTTCTTTCTACTCAAGTTATAAGTAAAATATAAATTCTAGAAAATACAACCATATTTTGAAGAACCAGATTTTTAAATATGTTCTGGAATATTACATTATATCGATTTATCGAGCAAGAATTCCAATCATTATTCTAATCGTCGGTGTAACTTGTTGATTCCTTAGTTTCCGTGAATTCGCGAGTTTTTTCCTTTATTTTTATTTTTTTAATTAACTTTTCACTATTCGTAAAGCCGAACTTTTCGTTCATACAAATTGTTTTAGTTTAAGAACTCTGACAGCAACGAGAAAAACTTTAACTGAATTAAAAATGAAAAATTCACCGAAGAAAGAAAATACGGGAATTTCGTTCCCATGGGTATGACAATTGTTTTGTTTTTTTTCTTTCTTAATTATTACCCACAATAATTTTTAATAACGTTTATTACGTATCTTTTATCATAACAGCAACATTTTCTACTTTCACAAATGTGATTTCGTGTTGAAAATGTATTAATTTAATGCGATATGAATAACTTTTTCGAATAAATCGAAATAAAAAATACAGAGGTTGAACTGTATTTTTTGTCGTCAAGCTGTTATAAACATTATTCTTCAACTTCATTAGCTCAAAATTTTTATTTTTTTACACTTCGATTTTTTTTCAGGTTTTATAAACTAAACAATTGAGCAAACAAGAACATTCCTTTAGAATTTTTCTCACACTCGTTAAAATGGTTTTAGTATGTCTTCAGTATATAATAATATCAATATCAATAATAACAAAAAAACAACAATCTTTTAAACAGATAATTGACAGATATAAATGGGATTATGAAATAAGGTAAAGGTATATTCCAGGATTAATAAAATATGTTAAAATCATGAAGAAATGCATTTATTTACAATTTATGTTATGGGTAAACAATACATATATATTATCAACAAAGAGTTCAAAACCCAAATACCTTAGGAAATATAAATATTGTTCTAATGGTAAAAATAAACCTGACAGGCAATAGGCATTAGAGTTCTGTTAATAAATGTATTTTTTGCAGGCCTTCGAATGCTTAGTTCCAAACTGTTAAAAGTTAGAAAACACCTTAAGAAAGCGAATTGCCATCACCGGCTATAGGCCAATGGAGATTCTGAAACTAAAAATTACCATGTTAGCCATCCCAATTCACAAAAAAGATTAAGTATTTCATGCATCCATCAAACCAACAAGCTCAAGTATAACATGCCTCTAAGTGGAAATTTTAGAATAGATTTTAACTAAAAATGCAATGAATGTCTAATATTATACATAAATAGCAAATAAACCAAGAAGAATGACAACAAACAAGTACCAAAAACTAAAAGAATAACTTACTTTTTCCATTAGACTCATTATTTTTACACCAATTCAAATAAAAATTAAACACACAAAGCCACTAGAACCCTGACAATGAACTATAAAAGAACTCGCGCACTTAACGAACTTATAACAGGATAAAAGCCAACACAAACACCAGCGTTACGAACACACCGTAAGTTAAGAACATACTGAGGTTGATTATGAAACTCCTTAAGAATTCTGTTTATCGTGTAGAGGGCGCTCAAATCGGATTCATTATCATTAGTTTGGTTATCACTTCATTATTTTTCCTAATGTGCATTATAACCAGTTATATATGCTATAAATGTATTATAAATGATTTAATATTTTAAAATAATATTTAAGTTTGATCATCATTCCTCGAAATTATGATAAAAATAATTATACTTTAACTTAAATAATTTAATTTAATTACTTGTTTCATAAATAAAACACATACTGGACTGATTTAAATACACTCATTTAGTCTAAAAATTGATTAAGTATTGAATATAAATCTTCTACAAAATATTTCATGGTAATTCTTAATAACATTCTTCCACTCAATACATAGTAGAGGGATGTTTTACATTGTTTAATCATAAAAAAGTTAGAAAACTGTTATTTAAAAAATTAAAAATAAGCAAAAGTAAATTAAAATACATTACAAAGTACGAAATTGTAAATTATTTATTTTAGTTCGGAGAATATTTGGTTACACTGGAGTGTTGACAGGAGGGATCATAATTAGGAGGTTAATAACTGGTTATATATTTCTCACGTGTGTCATGTTGTTTATGTTTACTTCATTTAATATCGTTAATAAGACCATTGAGTTAGCTCGTTTTTTTAGGAAATCATTTATTTATGTTAAATGATAAGTTCCTAATAAATCTGTTTACCAAATATTTGAATATTTCTTTAATGTAACTTTAAATAATTAATTTTTACTAATTTATGTTGTTTATCTTTACAATTATTATCCCCTGCACTCATATTTTTAAATTTTATTCTTTATTTTCGTTTAAAGAATTAGTTTTTCACTAGGCTGTGGTCATCATTTACATAATATTTAAAGATTTTGTTCTAAAGATTTTTAAATAATCATGAATGGGTTAACTTTAAGAATCAGTTCTGATAAAAAAGTCAGGCCCATCAAAAGAGATTTTAAAAAAGAAGATCTTCAATTTTTAATCAATGCATACAGTAAGAAACTATTTTTAAATAAATTTATTCACGATTGAACTTTTTATCTACTTAACAAAATTTTTTAGATGCTCAAGAAATATTATTAGTGACCGAATTACTGAATGCAGAAACTGTCGAACTTCAAGTCCGAGAATTGAAACAGGTTATTTCGAATTCCGTATGTTGTATTGACTGTAAACTTCCTATACAAATTTCTTTACCAATTTTTAATGGTTTTAGATATTCAATACACTTAGTAATGGTGAAACCGACACTGACAATCTTATAATTGACATTATCACTTATGTGTTCCTTAATCTTAAGAAGGAAAGTCCTTTACTACAATCCTTTTTAAAGTAAGTCATTAGAACTAAGAATTTTTGTTTTTACTCTTGTATTTTGCTTAATATAAATTTAATAACCATTACAGGTTTTTTTCTTCAGCCCCTACGCAATTCAGAAGTACTATTCAAGATTATTTGTTAAAACATTTGATGAAAATGCTTCTTAAAACAGATTTGCATTGTGACAACATCGCTGATTATTCATTTACTATTTCCACTTGTTTAGATAATCCAAATTTATCTACTTATAGTTTTTCACCTTGTGCTGAACTATTATATAAATTTATTGAATATTCTCTTATAAAATGTCATGAAGAGTTGTTGTGAGTATTACTATAGATATGTTAAATTTATTAATGAATTATTTTATTTTTATATAGATATACTGCTTATAAAATATTTTATTTTTTAATTCCATGATATTGGAGAGTAGAATTTCCTCTCTATTACATTGAATTAAAGTGATTGTTGTTGATTTTTATTTTACAATTTGGTTTGAAAAAAACTTATTCATTTTTTATGTTTTATTTAACCACAATATTTTGTGAACTTAAAATATTCAAATGTCGAATGATGAAACTATGGTGATTTTGAGTAATTGGTTACAAATCATTAAATTAATTATGCAGGAAATTACGAATTAACAGTTAATCTGATTAACTATTAAAAGTTATCAAATTATGAATCATTGATAATTTCATTATCAATTTCAAAGTTACAAAAATTCATTATACTGATAAACATAAGAAATCCACTAAGCAATTGATTCATGTGTGTGAGCGACATACAAATGTTGAGCAATAGTTATATCAAATACTTTTGATGTGTCAAAGAAAATTGCTTAGAGTCAGCCAATCCGAGTGTCAATGCAACCAATTGCCAAAACCACTTTATTAACATTTGCAAATATTCTGGTCCACGCCAATGGCTGAAGATTAGGACTAATCATCGTTAGTTTTAACTTTTACTTGTGTTAACTACATTATGTCGCTATAGTGCAGTTGATCTCCGAGTTCCAGAATTGTCCAATGTTTTATAAAAATGTAATATCTGTTCATTTTGAAACAATTACTATATTTATTTTCTATTAGGAAAGAGGAAGCGCCAATTAAGAAATTATCAATTATTTCCGGGATACATAGCTGCGTACAAGCAGGCATAAGCCTTTGTCAGAAACATCCTGTAAATTCTACAACAAACTTATCTAAAATGGCAGTAACTCTTTTGTGTGATTCTGAACTTCCTTTGGACACACGAGCTGCTTCTGGAATTTTAGCTGTTCATACTTCTATAAATGTTGATAAGAAACAATGGTTAGAGGTTGGTTTCTTATTTATTAATTACATGATTTAATCCTTTCTTTTTTTCAATGTTCTTGATTTTATTTTATTTTTTAGATTTACAGTTTTATTTTAGAATCAAGTAATGATTTGGGAATGTTATCATTTTGCTCTGGTTTGCTGAATGCACTTTCCTTACATGATTTTGAATCTGTTGTTAGTATTAATGGCTATAATAAACCTGCATTGTACATCATCCATGATACTGTGCTTATGGTTGAAGAAAGGTCAGTATTTAAAGAAATATGTATTAAAATTAGTTTTGTATCATAAATTTTTCAGTTTGCTGTTTGGATGCTAAACAGCAAACTGAACAATTTCAAATCAACTAGAACAAAATAAAAACTAATGGTTTAGAATAAGACATCTTGCTACATTCTCCTATAAATATAATTTTGTAATTAGGTGAAAGTGGAAAATTTCAATTAAATAATATTTTTTATTTGTTAATTCTTTAGATGCATTTTTCTGTTAAATTTTTTTGAGTACTCTAATTCCTTCTTTGATTACAAGACTTTTTAATTTCTATTGAAACGTTTACATAATTGGAAAAAGTAGACTTATTAATTGTAATGACATTTTTAGATTTCTTTATTGAGATTTACAACAATGAAATATTTATTAGTGTATGCTCAGTTGATATACTGATCTGACTTGATAATGAAATTATTCATTTTATTAATTTAAATACTACAAAAATAGAATTATTTTTCTTCCTATTTACTAAAACAAATTTAGCTCTTAGTCCAGATTAGGATTTATCCAACAAAAAATATAAATAAAACACTGATTTATAAAAATATTAATGCTTGGTTTACTATCTAGAAAAGCATCAGAAAGTGGGATTGTGTTGGCTGCTGCTAGATGTATATTGCTTATTAGTAAATGTTATACGAAGATACCACATCTGGTAAACCAAGAGTTACTGAATTCATTTTTAATCTATTTGTGGGGTCATATTGATCATTTCATGGATGCTGTACGTCATCTTGCTTTATCGTCACTCTCCAATGTTGCATCTATAGGAGCTATCTGTCCTGGTAAGTATAACATTTTGATTCTATTTAGGCTTTATATTTATTACTTTCTGATGATTCCTCTTTTGTGTGTGTGAGTCTGATAAAAAGAAAAATCCTATTATTTATTTATATTATTTCATTATTTGTTCTCAGACAAATCTCCTTGCATAAGGGTTGACCAAAAAACAGTACTTCCCTACTGTACGTACACAAGACCCTTCATGGGTTGTAGTAGTACTTTTTTTTAATTATTATTTGAAGCAGCAATTTGTTATTATTGAGTAGTCTGGTCCGTCTCCAATACCCTTCATCAGTTGACTATCTTCTCTTTTATAGTATCTCTCATTGAACATCAAGTAGTGTTCTTTTATCTTCTGGTATAGCGTCCATCCATCTTATGTTCGGTCTCTCCACAATTCTTTTGCCCTTGATTTCCTTTTTGTCAATATTCTTAAGTATCAACACGTCCCAAATGTTGAAATATCTTAAAACCATCCAGGTTTTAAAAGTTTGCAGTATCTTCTTTATACTTTTACTTTTATGGGTCCTAAGAGCTTCTACAGTATTATGCTATCAAATACCAGGAATTATTTCCCTTCAGCCATTGTTATAGCCCAAGTCTCCGAGTGATACAAACTGGTCGAACTAGGGTTTAATAGAGCATCATCAATGTCTCCTTTGAGAGAAATCTGATTTTGAACTGCTTATTAGTTGTTTTGTTTTTTTAAGTACCTTGTGAAACTTAGTTAAAGTATCTTGTTTTTGTTAATTTCTGTCCATAAGTAAATGGAACTATGAACACACTTGAACATAAACTGAGCCCACTCCAGACTTATTGTCTAGGGACATTGTGTTGAGTTACCAACAAGCCGAAATAAAATATGTATTGTTTTTCTTTTTTTTTAATTTATTCTTCCTTTCTTTTTTAGACTAAATAATTCAGCCAATTATATTTTTTGAAGAGAAGGATGGTTGGGATGATCAGTCAAAATAATAAATATTTGCCGACGTTTCGCCCCGAAGTTCTGGCCTTCATCAGTGCTGATCAATTGAAGAAGCCTGGAAAGACAATAGCAGACATAGACACGGTGTCTTATTAATTTTTACTATTTTTTATTTTGACTGATCATCCCAACCATCCTTCTCTTCAATTATTCACTATAGTCAACCATCAATTCACAATTATATTTTTGTATTAATTATAATAATATTTTGAATTTTTATTAACTGGTGAGAGTCTCGCAGTTACCTACATTTTGCTGAGAACAATTTTATCTAGCACAATTCTTTTCATTAATTCATCAAAAATCTACATTACAACTCTTATCATTCCTTAACCCACTTGATGTGTGAGTTGGCCGATGGCAGTTGTGCTTAAACTATTTGGTATTAGACATGTCCATTAAGTATAGATGCCTATTAAGGGAATTTTTATTACATTTATTTATTTTTTTAAATAGCCATTTGTGCTAATTGTTCTAAAACCATGATTTGTTAATTAAACAATTTTTCATTTCAGAACTGGGTGTGTATGAAGCTATTCTAAAAGATGTATCTGAAATGTCGGTCGATCGTCGAAGTAAACATGCAGCTATTTCGGTACTAGTCTCTCATGTACCTGTCAGAGAAATCATCTCCCAGACACCTGGTCTCGTGAAAGCACTTTTTTCTGCTGCATTGGCCAACCCATCTTCAAATTATGTAATTATATTATATTTAGTTTGTTTTCAAAATTTTTTTTTTAATTGTCTGATTTTCCATAGTTTACTAAGAGTTGCTCATTTACTCTGATCCCAGGACGAACCCAGTGGTCTTTGAATACTTCAGAAAACTTAATTAATTGATGTGAACATGTCATAATTTTAGATAGTTATTTTTAATTTGAAGACCATGGGGAGGAAACAGGCATGGTCCAAAAAATTTGAATAAGAGAAAGCCAACATCATAACATTATCTTTTATTCTACTTTGAGTTATGTTTTGAACAAATTTTTAATAAGAACACCAGACGTCTTCTTTTAAATATTTAATCTGATCATATTTTAATCCTTTCCATTGTCTATTTTAAGCTGTCAATAAGTCAATTTTGAAGAATAAAATGTGAAATTGCCTCATTTTGAATAACCATTTTTTATAATTTTCCAAGAAAATAAAAAAAAAAGGTAACCCTTCTCCTCAAAATTTGAGGTTTATGTTTCAAGATACGTAGAATCCGAAAACTGAATAAAAAAAATCTGTCTGTCCACCTTGCACCATTTGAGGCCTTTTTCTTAGAGTATTGTTTTGAAATTCTGTATCGATGTCAAAGGATACCCGAGGATGATCCTCAGAACTCGATATTACCATCAGCCCTTTCCTCTCAAGATTGCAGCCGAAAAACCTGTGTCGCTATAGACTGTAGCCTCTAAACAAATGTACTAATTTCGATGAAACTTGGGTAAAGTCATCTCTAATATGGTTATTTAAAAATTTCTAAAAATGCCAAAAAATAATCTTTGAAATTGGACCATTCGGTGCAAAGAAATGTTGTTATAAGTAATTTTTCAACATTTTTCTGTAAAGCTGATATCCTTTGTTTTGAATTTTGGAAAGTCTTACATCACCTGATTACATTTAAGATTTTCCCATATATTTTACTAAATGTTGAAGAAAAAAATATTTTGGCCTATATTAGTAATCACCTTTTATTTATTTTCCTGTATGTGACAAAAAAAGTACTGTTACATATGATATATAACTGTTTCAAAATAAGAAACCATTGTGTGATAATTTGTAAGGTTTGTCCCCTTTGTCTTATTTTTTTTTTAACTTATTTTAATATTAACTATTCCTAGGCCCTTAATTCCCTTGAAGCCTTAATCTGTCAAGACTTGAAGGAAAGAACGAACCAATTAGAATGGTTTGAACTTTGGGTGAAGCCACTTTTGCATTCCAAATTGTCAGCGCCTTTGGAGCAGCTTCTAACTGCTGTTATAAGAAACCATTCATCTATTTTAGAACATATCACAAGGTATCTTATATAAGATTATATTTTTGAATTTTATTATTTGTTTTGTTTTATAGTTTTTATTTTTTGTTATTTGTCAGTATAGGGTTGGAGAACAGTGAAGAAAAGATTGATGTGATATTGACATGTTTGAAGATTGGAAGGAAATTTAATCTGCTTTCCGGCAAGGATGATTCAAAGACATGGAAAGGCTTGGTGGACGTAAATCTTTTAGAATCATGCATGTACCATTTTGATGATGATGTAAGAATCTATCTTAAACCAATTATCTGCTATATATATAATACAGTAATACAGGTCCATTTTTCAGCTCTTAGGAGCAATTGACTTGGAAAAATATCAAATGACTTCCCAAGCTTTTTTTAAATTTATTTTTAACTAAAAATTTGAAAAAAAAAATCTGATTGAACTTCAGTAAAAAAAATCAATAAGTATTTTTTAAAATTTACTTAAATTGCTAAATTTCAAAAATGTTTTATGATAACTTTCCCCATATTTGTTACTAGCTGATGTGCCCATCGTTGACGGGTGTATAGTTAAAATTTGAGAGTCTTTTTTTGAGATGGCTATTTTATTATGGGGAGATCGAAATTTAATTTCTTAATATTGGGTGGGGGAAGGGAGGTAATTTTAATTTTGAGGAGTTTTTCTTCCGGTTTTCGGCTAATCTGTTTGGTTAATCCTAAAAATGTATACATTTGTTAGGCTAGGGAAGGTGAATCGAATGACACATTGATAGAGAAGATCGGACAAAGTTGAAAAATTAGTGTGTTTTAAGCGACAACGCGTTACAGATGTTGGGGATTTCGTATTTTTCCATCAGTTGAATAGTACAACTTTTAAATGTGGCTCGCGGTAGACTAGGTTGGAATGAGAATCAAAGTAACTGCCTAACTGGGACGTCTAGACAAATTACTCAAGAATTCATAACTTTGGTTCTACTCAATATTTTGTTTTCATTTAAAGCCTATATTTTAAGTCAAGCAAACCTTAATGCAATGTCAAAATTTCAAAAGTCTACAATAAGCCATTGCTGAGCTTACCCCTGACAAAAGTTCGTTGCAATGCGGACATACAGACAGACAAAAATTTTTTTAAAGTGGCTTTGGTATCTGGAATGTATGAAACGGTAGGATGTCATAAAACGGGTTGATTATTTTCAATGTACTGACAAAATCTTTATTTTATTTATATAGATTTAAATTAAATTATTATGGCTATGACACAGTTTGATAATCATGTCAGTGCTGCCAACTACTGAAAAATGATTTTTTTGTCTTTGTTATTGTTGTATCTTTGTTTTCCAATTAACTTTTTACATAGATTTGATTTATGAGAGGATTATAAATCTTCTTTATTCCAATCCTTGAAATATAACAAAATGTTATTAACTTCATTGGTAGATTTTCTCTTTTTTGGGCACCTCAAATTTTCAAATACATTATTAGTTGCTTACACTATATAATTATTTTAGTTTTTGTTCAAAATTAATTTACGATTATAATCGTAAATGTAGATGAAATCCCAAATAATACTCAAAGTAGCCACATAATAACAATCATGTTCATATACAATGAATAACAGACCCTAACAACATTTTTTGTTTAAAATATAAAATCTATTTCAAAATTCCATTTTTAATTTTTTTTTTTTTAAATTGTGTTGTTTACTCAAATTGGTAGAAAACTTACTCTGTTAAAATAATATGTTAAATTTTTATTCTCGTTTTAATTACATAATTTAGGATTTAATTAAATGCGTGTAAAATATAAGTTTATTTTTTATTGCAACAGTGATCAAATTGAATTGAATTGAACTGCTACAATCAAAATTAAATTTATATTTTAAACGCATTCTTCATATGATTGTAATTGTTGTTATTAGTCATTATCATGTATGTATGTTTTTTTTTATATATTATAAATGTAAATAACTTTTTATATAAAACAATCAAATGTGAAGGGCTCTAAAACATTTTTACTATTAAAGAACGGGATTGATCTATCTTTAGACACATCAGGTTTGTTTCGAAGGATTCCATGAAAAGTGTGTTGGATGTGATCTTGAATGAAATCAGCCACCATCACCACACCATGATTTTTATAACAATTTTTTTTAGTGCAATTGAAAACTTTGATTCGATTGATAATTGTATCCATTACAAAAATTAGTCGAATATTTAAAATAATATCTTCATTTTGTATTCAACTTTAATAAACTTATTTATTGATCAATTTTTAGATTCTATTTATTCCTTATAGTTTTTGTATTTGAAAGTTATTTTTATTTTTCAGGTTAGATTGTCTTGTTTATCTCTTATTGTAGAAACATCTAAATCAACTGAAGAATTCACACCTGTGGAATTAAATCTAATTAGAACATTTTTTATTTACAATTTATCTACACAAGACCCAGCAGTCAGACAGAACATACTTGCAGTTTCAAAAAAAGTTTGTATAATAAACAGATTTTCCTTCATCTTCTTGTAACATAATAAATGACAATGTTAAACCAGATGTCATGCAGAATAATCATGTTTTTATTGTTTTATTTTTTCAATTATTCAACTCTTTTTGTAACCATCACTGAACTGTTACTACCATTGTAATAGTATTAAACTTACATCATTAAAAGTTAATTTATATGAAGAATAGTATTTTTTTAAATTGTTTAGCAGTACAATGTTAATATTTCTATTTATGTTGACTAATTTTTAAAAGTGCTTTCTCCTTTCAACCTTATTGATATCGATTTTTTTTTTTGTTACAGTTATTAACTAGAGTTAGAGATAGCAGATCAGCTTTAGAGCGAAGGCAACGGAAGAATGCGAGAAGTGAAATGACCAGTGAAAATTTAACTTATGTTCTCGACGAATATCAGAGATTTCTGGCCGACTTTAAAAAACTTTGCCTTGAATCAATATTTCCGGGGTCTTCACCATCTAGACGGTCTTTTGCATTAGGAGGTCTTGCTCTAATGAAACAGCTTGGCATATATGGAGATTATAACCAGAGATCTGCTGAAGTAATTATCATTTTTAACAATCCTTCAAATTATGTTTATTTTTTTAAGGCCTCTTATCCAATGGAAGCATCAAGGCGCAACTAATTTTCATAGCTACATCTAGTGATTTATGGGCTGCTTCCCATTAAGTCACTGATTCCAGTGGACAAGAGACCTAACATTTGATATTTTTAAAAACAGAATTATGGCTGATTTTATTAGATTCTAATGTATTTTTGTTTTTCAGATTTTACTTTCTTGTTTGTTAGACAGTTATGAAGACAATAAAATCATTGCTAGAGATTTGCTTTCATGTTACCCTTCTAGTTTATTGAATTTTGAGGTAATATATTTATAAAAATATAATGGTTGATGGATTACATTTATTGTTTTGGTTTATCATTTATTTTTACTTATATGTAAGTTACTTTACTTGTTTAATTATAGTCCTCTTTGAATATGTAATAGTTGACCATTGCATTATAAAGAAAGGAGATGGTCCGGGGTGGCAGTCATGTATAGACTAAATAGTGGCAAAACTATTTTATTAAAAGCCAACGTTTCGACCCGACTTTGCTGGTCTTCTCAGTTCTAAATGAAACTCCTAGCTGAAAACACTTCTCTGAAGAAGACCTGCAAAGTCGGGTCGAAACGTTGGCTTTTAATAAAATAGTTTTGCCACTATTTAGCCTATTTATGACTGCCGACCCGGACCATCTCCTTCCTTTATAGTCCTCTTTCTTATAAGTTTCAAGCATGTCTAGTATCATTTGCTTCAGAGACATCTTACGTGTACTCACCAATCACCTACAGGTACCCACCTTAATCATGATCTTCCATAAACAGTTTTTGTCAATTTTCAAATAGATTAAAACATGTATATTAGTTAAGAGGTTGCACATCTTTGTTTATAGGGGAACAACTTAAGAATCGTGAGGGAAGGACAGATTTTATGCTATTGTGTTCTCTTTTTATATAACTGACAAATAGTTACACCATTTCAAAATACTTTTTGATTTACTTTATATTCTTTCTATCTTGTACACTAATTCATAAGTTGATTGTTATCTAAACCTATTAAAAAAATTAAGGTGTGCTTTAGACCATACGATAGAAGTAAAAACATTAACAACGCAAGATTAATAATATGAAATATAAATTATAAATACTGACTCATTATAAAGAGGATGAAACGCTGAACATTTCTCTCGCTTGCAGTATGTAGGTCCGATTTTTAGTTTCTAAGATATTTTAAAACTCGTTATCATTTGGTTTTCGACACTATTTTTTTCCCTTCGCCTCCCTAAAACAGAGTGTCACGTTAAGATATAGTTTTGAATAATAGCCCATTACAGAGAGAATGAAATGCTGAATAATTCCCTCGCTTACACTATGCAGATCTAATTTTTAATTTCAGAGATATTTTAATCCATATCTTAAATAAATCACGTTATCATTTGGTTTTTGACTCTAAGATACAATTTTGAATAATAGTCCATTACAGAGAGGATGAACTGCTGAGCAATTTCCTTACTTATAGTATGCAGGTCCGATTTTTATTTTCTGATATATTTTAATCCAAAACTTCAGTAAAACTCGTCATTTGGTTTTCGACATTATTTTTTCGCCTCTCTAACACGACATTGCATTAAGATACATTTTTGAATAATAGCTCATTAAAAAGAGGTTAAAATTATGAACATTACCATCTCATACAATATGTTCTGATTTTGAGTTTTTGAGATATTTTAATCCATATGCAAAAACACTTCTATTAGTGCACTCCAGCCAAATTTATCAGAGCGTTATGTATTGGAAATCTGACGGTTCAATCTAATTCACTCTCCACAAAAAAGTGCAAAACACGCCTAAAGAAGTTTTCACTTCAAAAATACAAATATTATGAAAATATTTTATATATATATATATATATATATATATATATATATATATATATATATATATATATATATATATATATATATTTTTATAAAAGCATCGTAAACTATTAATTATTTATATTTTTAAATCAGTAATTTTTAGGGAATAGAATTTTCTGAAAAAATAGTTAATTTTGAAAATTTTCATTATTTAATCACAATAAATAATCATTCACTATAGCTTATACAAATTAGGATATCTTAATTTTGAAAGTTCACTGGGCATCATCAGATGCGTCCTCTTCATTGTTTCTTATAAAACTTCTGAAAATATTTACTACTTGAAAATAAATGACTAATACTTATAATAAACATATAACCCTTGATTATATATTATGCAGACGTAGAGAGAGTAAAGTTCTTTTCTCTTAAAGTGGCAATAAGAGGTTCTGTTTTCAGTTTTTTACTTGTACCTATTTTATTTTTAAATATTTGTTTGATAATGAAGTTGTGGTCTAACTCTCTATTTCTAAAACCCTTTGTTTTGTTTTTTTTCTTCAAACTGTTGAAGATATTATCAATTACTTTGAGGACATATTGTTAAGTAAATAAGATTTTTTTCTTTTCATTTTAGAACCAATCACATGTCAACAACTATATTAAAAACACATTAATTCTAAGTTCGAGCATAAGGCCTCCTGATAGTATATCAGCTGGATATTATATGAGCTTGTTGGCAACATTTAATGGAATCATCGATGATAACAGTGTGTAAGAAATATTTTTACTATTATTATGTTTATGGATTTTTAAATTAGCATTAAAAATAGTTTGGTTGTGTGGTATTTATTAAAAAAAAAAAATTGTTTTTATTTTTCTTGATTATTATTATGATTTACTATGTTTTAGAACACAAAGCACTAGCTACTTTTGCTTGACGTCTACCTTGGCAGCCTTAAAAGATGAGCTACAGGTGGCTAAAGAAAGTTTATTACGAGCTGCATCATCTGGTCCATTATACGGCCATTTGTTTGTAATTAGACATATACTGCAAGCATTAGATTTGAAGTAGGTTCAATGTTATTACAATATTATTAATTTTACAAGAACGATATATAATATATCAATAGCTAAAATTTACAATACAACTACATTAGTATATTACGGATAAAACGTGTTTTATCCCTAATATACAATTAAAAATGTTAGAATTACCTAAATTTTTTTGTATATTCTATTATTTGTGAAAATAAATGTTTCATTTATGAATGTCAGTTTCTAAGATTACTAAATGTCATTTATTCAGTACTATATTTATAGTACTGATTTTATATTCAGAAAAACTCTTGTTCAAATGCTTCAATAAAAAGTCTGTTCTTATTTTAACTTTGTAAGGATTGCTTTTTCTTGGTCAGTGCTTGTGCAAGGAGGTCTCCCTGATTATTATTTAATTAAGAGTATCCACTTTTAGAGGCTGGGGATGGTCTTTTAATCCACTTGTGGTGTGCCTATATCTGTCTCAGCCAGACTCCATCCTACGATCTAAATACAGGGTACCTTATTATCTTCCTTAGAACTTTATAATAATAAAAATGAAAAATACGTTAAAAAATAATTAGACATGTAATTTTACTATTTGTGATTGAAAAATTTATAATTTCAAAAATAATGTGGGAAAATATTACTTCATTAATCCTGCCTTTTTATTAATATCTTATTGAAATAAGTAATAATATAAATTCATACTAAACCTGTATCATTACATTATATTATACATGTTTAAATACATTTATATAGAAACAATATATAAGAAAGATTTTATTATTAACTGTCTACTTTAATTATTGGTCAAGGTCCCGAGTTTGAATCCCGGCGCATGGCAGAAAAATTATTTATTCTTTTTCATCAGCCATGGGGTGACCCTGGAATCAGGAGACCCTACTGGGGCATACCCAGTCTCTGTAAAGTAGGTACCCTTAATTAAATAATTAAGTGGGAAAACCTGGCAGCTGAGTGTGATCTTAGTCAAATAGCTTCCTTGCACAACTCTTGACTAATAATCAGTGCTTTCCCTAAATAGTACTAAACCCTAGGACCCTTCATGGGTTTTAGTGGTACAGGTTTTTTTTTTTTTTTATGGTATATAAATGAATAATGCACTTCCCATGCTCAAGGTCCTGGATTTATATCTGGCTGTGTATTTATTCTGTTACATCAAACCAAGGTCAGGAGATCCATATGGAACACACCCACTTTCGATATGTGGAAACTTTTAATATTACATAAATGATTTAGGGGGGAACCTGACGGTTGTACATAATCTCAGCCCAATCACCTCCCTGCACAAACCAATGACTTTGAAACAGTATTCCCTTACAAAGTACTGCACCCAAGACCCTCCATGGGTTGTAGTGGTATAGGTTTTTTTTTACCTATGAAAAATCTTGGCTTATAATTTAATGTTTACATTATTTTGAAACTACTTTTATAATGCTTCCTACAACAATGGTTCGCATAATTTGCTTTCATTTTTTCAGAGAAATTGGAAACGATGGAAAATGGTGCTCTTTGATAGAGGACATAATTGAAACAGCGTTTGAATGTAATGATACTGTGGCTTGTGTCGTTAATAATTCATCTCCTGAAGGCCACATTCCAATGGATTTTAGTTACAGTGAGAAACAATGTTTCTTTTAATATTCCACAATTCATGATTTGTTTAATATTGCAGCTGCTTTGTTTATTAATTTCTTTTCTGCAAAAAAAAAGGTGAATCCAAAAAAGATGGTGAACCCCAAGTAACTTCTCAAATGGTACTACTTTGTTCTTGGAGAACTGTGAAAGAAGTTTCGCTTCTTCTTGGTGAATTGTCAGAAAGAGCTACTATTAAGAAAAATGGTGTTGGTAAGTCTATTCTGCAAAGGATTCAACAGTTATGTTTATGTTATTTATATAATGTTAATGTTTATGTATAAGTATTGAAGTAGACCATTTTGACTTTGCAATAATGAGGTGAGGTAGCACTGCCATCAGGTAATAATTTGAATTCTGGTGATGTTATGACATTAGTAATATGAAATAGTTTTTTAAGCAATGCCATTGCCTTGATGAGGTGGATTCTAAATACTTTTTTTTCAAACTTAAAAAAGTTTACATTTAGTTAGTAAATTTCATTTAACTTCCTTGGAAACATGTGATTTACCTTAAATAATGTTAATTTTCTGAAATTACTATTTTTTTTTTTTCGTCACTCTCCGTTACCTTCTATAACTTTATTTATTTGATATTATTTTTTCTAAAATTCTCTACTTTCTAACGATATATTACACGTATACCTTCTGACTATTATTTCCGGAGATTAATTTTCGATCTGGATAAGCAATTTTTTCCAGTTTCCCATTATCATATTTTTTCAAACTTTATATTTAGCCATTTTTTATAGTTACTGTCAATAAAAGAGAGTTCATTTTTTCAAATAAACCATATTAAAGGTACTTTAGAGGAAGAAATGTTGACATTGGGCATTTAAGCCCTGTAAAGCGACATCAGTGGGGATAAGACCTAAATGATATTAAAGACCATATCAATTATACAATGATACACCGAGTCTAATCAAAGTCGTTGGAGCATTTTTGAGAAAATTGTGTTTCACCGCTGATATAAAGTGAAACACAATTATTATATATTACACATATAATAAGGGAAAGTAAAAATTGATGACTATAGCATCAATATATTTGAAGATGTAAGAACTTAAAAATAATGAGTCCAATTTTGGCCTAAATAATGATCCAAATACACAATAATTTAAGATGTTCATAATGATATTTATTAAAATTAACATTTCATTAAATATATAATATTGCTAATTTTGTTTTTGTACTATCATTATTTTATAGATGATGGTCTTCTTACGGAAGATCAAATTCTAGCTATTGGAAAACATCTTACCAGTCTTCTGTCTGAAACTAAGCATAGAGGAGCATTTGAACAAGCATATATTGGTTTTTCCAAACTGTCTGGGAGATTATGGAAGTTAGTATATTGTGAAGATTGTTGTTAATTTAATTCATTGCTTACTTAATTTCGAATGTGATATTTTTATTTATTTCTAGATGTAATTCTGGTAAACTTCATGAATTGCCAAAGAAATGGTTAGATGAAACATTGGATCAAATATTGATAAATGAAAAATTAAGTGCTACTAGAAGAAGTGCAGGGATACCATTTATAGTACAGGTAAATTTTAAATATTGTTTTATTATCTTAGTGAAATGTTTGAATAACATATTTTAATTTTGAGCAGTATGTATGCCTGGGGGTCGGTAGTATCTATTATTACAATTCATGATCACAAATTTCTCCCATATCTGAAAAATTATTTCCATTAATTGTATGTTAATAAACTATTTCAATAATAAATGGGAAATATTGCTTGAATAATTTAGAAATGAAATTTATACATTATCACTTAATAATTTCAGTCTCTCTTCATGCTTTTGTCCCTTTATTGAAAAGAAAGATTCAATACACTAAGTAACTTATTGATTCCTGTATCTTATAAATAGTGATTTCTACGAAATTTAATTGATAGTTCCTTATTGTAGATGTACAATAAGGCTGGGTTTGGTAAAATTCTTAATGGGTTAAAAACATATTTCAAAAACCTAAATAGTGCGAATAAAAATTGTTTTTTTTAATAAAGCAAAAATTGTCTGTTTACTGGAAAACTATTGGTACTCATTTGAAAGCTAATTAAATTCTTTTAAAGATTAAAGATAAATTCGAAGGCTATACATCTCCTGGCTGGTTTGAATTGTAGTTCTCCTTAAGACTCTTACAAATTTTTTATTTTATTTTTTTCCTATGCCTATTGACTTCGACATTTTAAGTCATGAGTTTTCTGCAACAGCTTAGGGTTGTTATAGGCGACAGTAGTGATCATTTTGTTCTCTCTACTTCGAGATATCCGGGGAGCACATTAACTAACCGGACGCGATAATATTTCACTCCCTCTTCATCAGGAACTTTCCTGCAAGATGGTTGGTAATCTTTTGCTTCAGTCTTCCACCAAATTTTTTTATGAGATTGGGGATTGTCAGCTCTATAGCCAACCCCCAACCTGAAGGACTAGGAGCAATTGGTTTAAGATACACAGGGATCGCTTACTTCCCTATGAATCTCAGGGTGAGGAAGTTACTGTCTCCATGTATGAATCGAACCCGCGCTGTTGTGGTCTAAGTTGTCAACTAGGGAGCCCAACTTAATTGTTTTAATTTATCCTCAGATATATTATTGCAGTAAGGCTCGAAATCGGTTTTGTACCAAATATAAGCTCCTGTCATGCTCAAATACCATGAATGGGGTACCGTTGGATTCAGAATTTCACGGGAGGGGTTAGCGAATCGTATTCTTTTGTTTTTCTTTCTAAAATAAATAAAGTCGATACAAACATTTTGCTAGGCTTCAATACTGGAACGGTGGTAGGTCTGTAGATCAATACGGGTTAAATTGGATCTTGAAGATTTTGATGCGTACAGCAAGACCCAGATAGTTCCTCCGGAACTATCGGATCCTGCGTTTTTAAGCCCAGAAACGTACTACTTTAGAAATAATGCAAGGCATAGGGTTTGCATCCACACAACCTTACATTAATTATAGTACTGTCATTGAATACATGTCTCATTTCGTCGACTTGAGGTCTCTATGATCGAGAGGAGGAGTTTATATTATTTATCGATGGGCAAGCCATATCATTGTTAATTTTTCACCAAATCTCAAGATTGAGCCACCACTTTCGAAGGCTTCCTTCTCTTTCAGGCGGGCAAAATAGTCCAATCACCCCGAAAATTCATGCAAACAAGTTATGAAAGAAAACAAACTTTATTTGCGAATAACTAAAAAATTACACACTTTTCCCTTGGTTATGCCCATGATTATATAAAAGATTACTAAATTCTCTACAAATTGAAAAAAAAAATTATTGAAATCGGACAAATTTAGCAGAGATACAGTTTACTGAAATTTGTATACATCTTGGTTCCAAACAGAAATGAACATTTATATTAATTTTTTTTTTCTTTGTCAATTATATTTATTGATAAAAGAACATTAGATTTCTTTATCTTTTGATATGTTGCATTATTTTATTTTCTTATTAATTTAGCATTTGATAACAATATGCTGTGCTAATTTTTTGCACGGGCCTACTAGTTATTAATTATTTTATTTATATTTTTTTTGTGTGTTATTAATAACTCGCTCGACCACTGCGGCTCTTCTTACAAAGTTAATTAGAATTAATGGTGGAAATCAAATATTTGCTAGTGAAACCAGAGGTATTAGCTACTAAAGTGTATGAATCATTTGAGCTTTGACTAGATAGATAATATTTTTTCTAACCTTATTTTGCATTTTATTTTTTTAATTATTAATATATAACTTTGTTAATTGTTAAATTGTTAATAATAGGGACTTATATGCAGTGAATTGGAAAGTGGTTCATGCAAGAGTCTGCATAAAGCAATGTCCTCTCTTCTCAATATTGCCAAAGAAGGATGCTCAGAAGGTAAATGTGTGGTGTTCCATAAAATATAAATAATGTATTTCTTACATAATTCACTAGATTTTTAGTTGGTGGGCAGATTTTTCTTTGTTAATAATAATTTAAAAATAGATTTTGCATTAAATTAATTAAAATTATGTGCATATTTACTTATAAGTTATGATATTGCCATATATAACTATAATTTAATAAGACTCCCATAATTATAATTTATAATTTGAGTAAGTTAATATATTTTCAGTAGTCTTGAATTTCAATCAGATATTGAAGGCATCAAATCGCAATACCAATTTTCAGTATTCATAGATGTTAAATTTACTAACAACCAACTAATATTTTTAAGTAGTTATGCAAGCACATTTAGAATATGAATACAAGACAGATATGATTATTAGATAGAATTACTTTCTTAGTCATTTATTTACTTTTGTTCTTATTTGTCTTTTAATTCCTTATATTTTACGTTGAATACTGATCATGTTTATAATTCACAGGGAGAGTGCATGCTCTGAATATTCTGAGAGCCCTTTACCGTGGCTCTAGCTTGGGCGAAGCTGTTGGCCCTTACGTAGCAGAAGGTATCGCTACTGCCATCAATGGATTCAACTCTAACACTTGGGCTGTAATTATTTTATACTTGTAAATAATTTTTAGTTGAATTCTCGTTTTCATCTTTTTCCCTTTTTTTCTTTCCTAATTAGAAATAATTAAAGGTATCTCATTTGTAGTAGTAATCCAAAAAAGCATTTTATTATTATATGATACGTCCTTCTGTTGGCTAGAAATTCAATTCATTATAAACATTTTTTTATTTTATTTAATTCAATTTTATTTTATTTTTATTTTTTTTAAGGAAAGAAATTCTTCTACTCTTTTGCTTAGTGCATTAATGTCAAGAGTGTTTGGTGTTCCTCGAGGAAAATCTGAAACTCTAAGCTGGAGAAACAGAATGACGGGCAGGCTCTTTTTTCAAAGGTAAATTGATCATGTTATCCAATAGGAATGTAGTTTGTAATTGAAATATGAATGAAATAACCAATTTAATTACTTATTATCAGTTAATATTCTAATTTCTTCACTTTATTTATTTACTATCTATTTTTTCTATTATAAAATTAAATTAAATTTCCTTTATATTTCAATGTTTTTCCCCTCTCCCCTTAGGAATTTCTTCAATTTTCCTAATTAAACTCCTGCTTCAGCAAGTCCTTCCATCTCTCCTGGTGCATCACATTCACCTCTGACAGTTCCCTACCAGCCTTACTCTCCACCACTCTATCCTTCCATCTAAATGGGGGTCTTCTCCTTCTTCTACATTTTGCCTTCCAATCCATAATTATTTTTGGTATTCTATTGTCACCCATTCGTCTCACATGGCCATACCATTTCAGTTTCCTTTCTTTCATCACCTCTAGGATATTTTGTTTTATTTCCAGTGGTGTTACCTACCCTTTCAATCCGCGATATCCTTGCTGCTGTCCTCCAAAAATCCATTTCAACTGAAAGAATTTTTTTTTCCTGGGTCATACTGAGAGGTCATGTCTTCGAACCATATATAGTTTTCTTATATAGTTATATTAAGTTTTCTATCAAAGCTTTGTATGTTAGCTTTTTTGTTTTTATTAGAATATTGCTGCTCCAGAGTAAAGAATTAAGCATATCCATTGCATTTTTACCAATTGTGATCCTTTTTTTAATTTCAATTATGGACTCCAAAAAACTAAATAGTTCCACCTTACTTTATTGCATAATGTTTGGTTGCTACTCTCTTCTTTCTCTGTGTACATGTATTTAGTTTTGTTGTCATTTATTTAGCTGTCTCCCTGCTCATAATGATATATTATTTTTCTGAATAGGTAGCTTATATCCTCTTCATCTTGTGCAATTAATACCTGGTCATCAGCAAATAATAAATGGCTGAATGCCCATTCTCCCACATTCCCTCATCCATCCTTTTAGACATTCATCAAGGTATTGTTAGATTAATCTTCCTTAGAAAAGTAAACAAACAATTTCTGAATCAAATTATATTTATTTTACACAATTACTTTAAATTATTTCTCAGATTGGGTTGAGACAATAAACACACATTCCTCAATTATATAATATAAAGCATACATTAATTGTATATAACATTTATGGATTTCTATTCAGTTTTGTCGGGGTCTACTCTTTCTTGACGCACTTCCTAATTGTCGCCATTTCTTTTGCACTCACCCCAATCCGCTCTGAATCTTCCTCTGTATTGATGATGTAGACTTCACTGTATTAAACTTCTACAATCTTCTATTTTTCTGTCTTCGTCTAGACACTCACTACTTGCTGACCTGTCACTCTCTGCTAGTCTCGATCTTCTTTCCTTGCCGGCTGGTCACTTTCTCCTCTAACAACTGGCACTTGCTTCCCCTTCTATCTGTCTTTCTCCACCTCTTTGTCTATTTTGGACAGTAGTTCGTGATGTCACTGCTTTTGCACCACTATGTAATATTTACATTACAGTATATTTTGAATAGAGTGGGAGATATGCAGCAACCTTGCAGTAACCCTTTTCCATTTTGGAATTTCAAATTTAATTAGTTAAATTTATACTTTGACAAACTTATTATTCTCATTGAAATTGAATCCAATTAAAAAAAAGTATTAATGGACACAAATAAAAAATTTTGGAATATCTTTTATACAAAACTATACTTTTTATTAATGATGTAGAGATGGTTGACCGTTGATATAATATGAGAAGGAGTTGATCGGGGGGTGCGATCAAATAAATACTAAATTAAATAAATACTAATTATTTAATTTTTGCAGACGTTTCAACCCACTTTGCAGGTCTTCATCAGAGCTACAAAAGATACAAAACATAGTGAAAATAAAATAAAAGAATATAAGTAGATATAAAATAATAAGAAGTATTATATATGTAGAAGATACAAACAAAAATGGAAAAGAAGTATGAATAAAAATAGAAAATAAAGGAGAATGTAGCATTCCTTATCTTTTATCGCAATCTGTTCACTTTTAACTTACATGCTATATTCTCCTTTATTTTCTATTTTTATTCATACTTATTTTTCATTCTTGTTTATATCTTCTACATATATAATACTTGTTATTTTAACTGCATTGTCACCCACTATATCTCTGATATCATCTTTTTATTTCTGTATCACACAACTTCTTCTTTTTTTATATCTACTTATATTCATTTATTTTATTTTCACTATGTTTTGTATCTTTTGTAGCCCTGATGAAGACCTACAAAGTGGGTCGAAACGTCGGCAAAAATTAAATAATTAGTATTTATTTGACCGCACCCCCCGATCAACTCCTTCTCATGTGCTTTTTATTTTTTTACATAAATTAATTTTTATATAAAAATTCTAATTTTTCATATAAATGAATAAGACTTTTTTTGATATGAACTGAAGCAAAAAAACAAAAAAATATTCTTGAATCTAAGCCTGAGAAGTGTTTTAAAAACAAAAATATTTTTTTATAAACAGACTTTTTGTTGATTAACATGAAAATATTCTCTTGCACGAAACTGAAGTGGCAATTATATTCATCAATTCTTTAGCAATGATATATAAATCTTGGTTGTTGTTCTATTGAGAAAACCATCTCTTGATACCCTTTTCATTCATTCATTCATCAAACATTCTTTTCTTATTACCTGTTCAGATTAAATATTGATTTTGATTCAGGTGCATCTTTTGGATAATGTAACTTTCGGGCTCTCTCCGATGTTTTTATTAAACCCTTTGTTTTCCTCTGCCACATCATTTTTTTGTACTTCTTCCCATTTATTTTCTGTTTCAATAATTTTTCTGTTTTTTTTTAATTTTTAGTTTTTTTTTTTTTTTATGTTCAATACTAGTAGTAGAACGGAACGGGTTGTTCTGTTTTGACCTATAGTAGAAATTGCCCATCACTACTTTTCATATCAACTATTTTATACTGTCAGGTCTACTTATTACCTTTTTCTACATTTCTTAATTCAAATATTCAAATGTCAACAGGCATCAGACATAAGTTGCAATATGCTTGTAAATCTCAAAGCTTACATAAATAAATAGATTTAGAATTATTTATTTTTAAAATTTATTTTCTTGTAGGTACCCAATACTGTATTCAGAGCTTCTTTCTCATTTGGAAGCTTCTTCGACTAACCATATGTATCCAGCACTTTATCCAGTTCTACTTCTTTTGGGGAGACTTTATCCTTCATCATTGGAGGGAACAGATTCCAATTTACAGGTATAATTTTAAATATTCTATCGATTAGAATATTAAAAAAATAAATTGAATTAAAAAATATCCATTACATTACAGCTATTGAAATACGTACCATTTATTATGAAATGTGCTCAAAGTAGCGTAATGAAAACCAGAGCTCTTGCAGCCACTGCTTTGGCATCACTCATTACATCTTCTTCTTATGAATCACAAATTGATGAATTAATGAGCCATATATCTCAAGCATCATATGAAAATCATGTGCATGGCTATTTACTTATGGTAAGGATGTTGTATATTAATTTTTAAACTACAGTAAAAAATAATAAAAGCTTCCATAGTCTAAACATTATTATCAATATTTTTGATTGAAGGTACTAAAATTGATTCAACAAAGCAGGGCTTTAGAAGACTTTAATTGTGAAAAAATGAAATTACACATTAATGGATGGGTTGGAAAAATGTTAAATATTTTAAATAAACTAAACCATTCCTTTATAGTTAAAGATACATCTTTACTTGTGATAATTCACATAGTTGTTAACTATTTTAGTGCAATATCTAATGACACTATAACAACTTTGAAAAATATTCTGAAAGATGTTCTTTTCTCGAACAAACCAAATAACCATTATGGATATGAAGTGTTCTTAGTCCATTCTTCAATACTTTTGTTTCTTTTAAACTTCAAAGATAACAATGTGGAAGAACTACATCATACCATTGTAAAATTACTACAATCTGATGAGTACGATGTAGTAGGTGTGACATTAGAATTTCTCGAATTTATTGCTTCCAATAGTTCCTCAACATTTTGTCCAGATATTCACGATTCTTTAAAGCTGGAAATGAATGACGATTTGATAAAAAATAAATTTAGCGAGTCAGTCAAGAAGTCTGAAGATATCGGAGACATTTTATCGAAAAAGATCATCGTCGATAATCATCAAGAAGATTTAGTCAAATTATTGAAATGTTTCCAGTTTTTTCCTCATGCTTTCAATAAGTTATCTGAGAAAATGAAAATAGTTCAATTATTTTACAATATAGCCGAAAATTCCCATAGATCTGTTGCAAGTAATGCTTTAAGTTGCCTCAACAGCTTCCTTAGATCACAGGTAAGTCGATGAATTTCTTATTTTATTAATATTTGGAAGCTTATATATTATTTATTGCATATTTTTTCCCCTAGAATAACTCATTGAACAATGAGGAAGTAGGACTAATTGTTGATCTTATTAATACTTATTCTCAACCAGATGCTGACCATCAGTGTAGATTAGCATGTGCTGAATTGCTAGCAAACAATTTTCTTGTTTTGTTGGATAAGTCTTCAATAGATTGTAGTAAGTATTTAGTTCTTTATTTTTTTGTAATCTCTCATATAATTTGATTATAATGAAATTTCTCAAATATTTATCTATTTTTAAGTTGGTTATTAATTGTCTCTGTTTTTCTGATCCTGTATGAATTTTATTTATAACTAGGAAATATTATTCAATAGGCAGAAAAATTATTCTACAAAATCAAAGATCACCAGGATGGTCCTCAGAATCTGATGTTTATTTTCAAAATAGTGAAGATTATAGATTCATAGATTATAGATCCACTGTCTATAACTTTTTTCCAAGACTACTGGACTGATTTTTTTTTCCACTCTAATCACATCAACAAACAGATGGCTAATTAGTTTTCCTAGATTTTTTTTTGTTTTTCCCTAATCAAACCAACAAATAATAGATCACCAACAAAATGGTGGCTGATTAGCGATTTTAAATCCCCACATCTCACCTATTGATGAAGATAGAGAAACAATTTGTTTAAAGTGTTTAGGATTTATTATAACACAGAATAAATAAATAAATATATTTCCTTTTTAAGCCTGGTGTAATAATTCATAAACACTTTTTACTTTCACTTACCTATATATGTAATATATAGTAAGGGTAAGTATTACGATCATGAAAATTTTAGAATCTGAGTTGTCAGAAAAGAAATACACCTTTTGAGGTCCCCTGAGTCTAAATAACCAAGTCCCACAAAATGGTGTGTCTGTGTGTGTGTTGTAATTTTATTTTATTTTATAGATTTTTAAGATTTTCACAAAAACGGCTAACGATTTTGATTAAACTCAGTATATCAGTGTATTATTGAGCAGTTTTTAATATAGTGTAGGTTTGATTCTCATTGATGTTCTCTAACAAGGCTTTGATGGCTAATTTTCAATATTAGCTTCCTCTAAGGTACTTTTAATTTTTTTTTATTTGAAATAATTAACCATTTCACATTCATCTTTAATATAAAAAATAGTTAAATATAAAATATGAAAGAATTTGATAATTAAATAAGGGAAAAATAAGAGATTGTAACAGAACATTGTTGTAATGGAGGAACCGAAGGAATATGAGAACATCCGAAAGATTAGAACATGCTTTCATACATAACATGAGCTTAATATAATAGGGACCATCACAATATTATGTACATATACATATGCCGTTTTCATAAATACTATTCCTGGTATTATTTAATATTTAATTGTATAAATTACAATTAATTAAACAAATAAAAATACCTAGAATGAAATGTAAATACATATAGCATCTATAATTTTTACTTTCACTTCCCATTTGTCTGAAAATTATTATTTCTGCCAAGAAGAGGGTGGTAAGTGAAAGTCATGTGATGTGTGCACCAGATTTTTTATTGTTCATTAGGGTTATCTGTTTGGAAATAATAAACCATTGGGTAACAGCATAAGATGTTTTACTTGTTTAATTATACAATATAATTTTTTTACAGAATTGACCTTATGGGTGTCTGGTGTTAGACTTATTTTAGATGAAAACCAAGATATAAGAGATATGATTTGTACTGGTCTAGTAGGAGATTATGTACCATCAAAAACCTTAGAGTTGTTTTTACAAAAGTTTGTTCATGAGACACCGGATAAGACGGCAGTGTTTATAGGCCTATTTTTCTGGGCTGTTGGACAGCCCCTTGCTGTTGAAGATTTTGAAGAGGTAGACTTGTTTTATATTAACATAAAAATATGATGATAATACCTGCCTAATTTTAAAGGTCAGTCGATTTCACGTCGATATAACGAGTTTGTTTCGTCCCTAAGCTTTATTATTAGAATCTTCTGACAACCTTATCTAGTATCACGGGTGGATCTACGGGGGAGGAGGGCCTTTCGGGCTGAAGCCCCCCCCCCCTCCCCAGAAAATGGTAAAACATAACCATGTGTTATGGCAAAAAAAATTTAAAAAAACCTCTTAAAGTATTGTTGTTCGTGTAATTACATTTAAAAGGACTTAAGGAATCACTTAAACACCATTTCATATAGGTAGTTAGTTTCTTTCCAAAGTAATTATGAAAAAAAAAGCTTCCGGGCTGAAGCCCTCCCCCAAAATTGAATCCTGGATCCGCTAGTGTTCTTGTCTGACTATTAAATTAGAATATTTTCCAGTAGGACAAGCTGATCACTTATTAAACAAATTGTTACTTTAACATCCGTGGTAAAGTATGAAGCTTCAATAATTGTAATGTTGAATCAATAATCTACCAAGATATTTAAGTAGTAAGTGTATTTCGCCTTTGGATGAATAGCATTTCCCGATTTTGTTTATTAATTAAAATATTTTATGTATACATCTATCAGTGGTTTACCTTAATGAGTCTATAAACCAGGTTTTGAAGATATAATAAATAAAATAATATTAATAAAATATTATAAATTATATTTTCATATTATTGTATTGGAACGTTCAACAAGTTCTTGCTGTTTCTAACAGATGGCAGCACCAGAACTATGTGGGTTTCATTTCAGATTGTAATGTGATTTTCCTTTTTTCCCTCATTTAACTTCAGTAAATTATATTGATTGATGACATAAGCTCATTGAAGGTGATCAGATGGGTAATTGAAATTAGAGCTGATGTTTTGAACTTAAATTATAAACACCTCAAGCAAACAAATAATAATTGTAGCATGTGTAATACAGAAGAAACAGAAGATCTCTATCACTTGCTGGCTGCTTGTCAGATAATCTCTGAATTTAGAATTAAATGGTTAAAATCTAGAAATTTATCTCGAGATCAAGTAATAGATTTATTAAATGGAAACGATTAGATAGCATTGGTAAATTACTGCAAGTCTGCTTTCTCCTATAGAATAATGCTCACCAGAGAATTTAACAATTAATAAATTGGAGAATTTTGGTACCACTCTTTTTGTAATTAAAATATTTATATAACTTTTACATTGTAAATATAATTTTGTTATAAAACACAGTCTCCTCTGACGGTCAACAGACCATGTAGCACTTCTGATTTTCGGTTTTAAATCCAAAAATATTATTTTGTAATTTATATTATGTAATTTTTATAAATAAAAAGACTTTTTCTTCTTCTCTTCTTCTAATGTAATTTTCTAAGAACTACTGTTGGTTAGCTTCAAATTCTGTGTGTGTTGGTTTACCACAGTGTAAGCAATGTTTTTCTAGTAGTTCTAAACATATCGAGTAAAGAGTTAATATGACAAGTAAAGAGTTTTTGCCAAGTAAAGAGTATTTGTGGAATATTTTACTGTACTATCTTATTCTAATGAAATCTGCAGCTGAAGCACAAATAATTCTTGTTGAGACACGCGGCGAGCATGCTCTATTATAAATGACATGTAGAGACTGATTTCAACAATTCAAAAATAGTGATTTTAATCTGTTGTGTTCCTTTCAATAACTATTTTCAAGACTATTTTTTTGTATAGGAATTGTGTAATTTATCTTTTTATTTCTATTTCAGGGGACTGTTTTTGATAAAGGAAATGTTAATTTGAACTATGAAGATTTGATTATAAACCGTGAAGCTTGTAAACTCATGAAAGAGTTATTCCAAGGTGATATTCATGCTTTTCTGCATTGTAATATAGATCCAAAATTGTATAGTTGGCTGGAATCACAGATGAATTTTCAGGGACACAGCGTACTGTACTTAATCAACAACTATAAAAAATTTGTTAACGAATGCAAAGACTTAAAGCTTTTGCTACCTTATCGGCCATATGAAAACCAAAGATTATTAGAAAATATGAAACTCAATAATATTTTAGAGGCTTTGAATTTAGAAACAGATTTTCTGTAGTACTTAATTTTTTTTTTATTATATTTTCCAAAAGACTTCTTATGTTAAAACCATTACCAACAAAATCAGAGTAATTCATTATCAATGTTCGCCATTTACTATAAACAGTACCTAAATTTTCTTTTAAGTAGAATATGGGTTTTAAAAAGCTAAATATGTTCATGTGTATTTAATTATATTTTCTTAAATATGTAAAAAAAGTTTGAAAAATATAAGAAAAAAAATCACAAAGCTTACAAAAAAAAAATTGCAAGATTAAAGAAAGGCCGAAGATTAAAAAAAAATTCTGAAGTCCTTTATGTACTGTACATTGTAATATAAAATAATATTTAAAAATATTGAATTTTGTAAATATATACTAACATTGACAGAGTGTAAATAATGTAAATTAAATTATATTTTAAAAAGTTGTTATTCTTTTTTTAAATAAAAGGTTGACTACTTTTAGCAACCATTTGTTATTTATTTATGATTTAAATATTATAGTATTTTCTTATTTGATTGTTTCTTTTATATTTTTGGAAATATTTGAACATTTATTGACAATTATTATTAGATTAATTGGTGGAGCAATTGGATATATGATCATGTTATATTTTTAACCATACTAAAAAGTTTGTTTTGAGGATTAATTTAATTCTTATAGCTTAAACTTAAACATTAAAAAAAAAATCACTTTTAATCAACATTCTATATTTATACTCATCTCTTGCTAGTTAAAAATTGAAACATTATAATCCTAAATGCCATCATAATCATAAATAACGATTCTGTGGCTTAAATAGTTCGGAAGGCTTCTCCTCTCTTCCCCACAATATAATTCAATGTACCCATAAATTTTAGCCAATCCTCCCTCTCACTTGTGGATTTCGACCATAGCACCTCAATAATAATGTTACCTCAATATTTTGTAGGTTATTGTTTTAAAGATTATTTTCCATTTTGGGAGGTTAATAATCTTTAAAAATAGTAATATTACTTTCTGTACTATCATTGTATTTAATAATTTTTGTGTAGCTACTGTTTGTTACAATTGTATTTTCTATGTTACACTACTATTTCACATACATCAAAAATTTGCCAAAGTCTTCAATAATCCATATTGTCTGATTAGTGTGGCCACTACATCTGACATATGTTTGCCATATATTTGGCCATACCATTGCTGAAATGAAGCAGAATCAATAATAAATATTATGCATATTTTGTATTTATTCTACAGTTACTAAGAACTTCTTAAGGACGATCTCCTAGTCTATTCTAATATAAAATTTGTCTCTTCTAACAAGTCAGAGTCGAGAAAAAAAAATCCCAAAACATCCAATTTTTGCTGAACCGCAGTAATGGACAAAAATATAAAACAAATAACAGCATTTGTCTGATTGGTGGATATTGAGTAGTGGTATGATGACTGTAGTATCTGCTGTGGGATAATTACAGAAATTTCAATTTCAGCTTCCATTTTTCTTATGCTGTATGCAACTAGTCTGAGGGATGGGTTCCTCTGGTTACAATCATTAATGGTAGTAATTATTCAGTTAATGAAATTCATTACTAAATTGAGGAATGAAGCCAGGTGAATGATATTGTTTGTGTTTTGCAAATACTTCTCAAATGAGGCACAGAGTGTTAATGTTAGTGAGGAGCCATTTGAAAATTCTGCAACATTTTAAACAAAATTACCATTATGATGTCCATCTTCAAATCAGGATTCAAATGGTGCCCATTGAAAGGGAAAAACCAATATGTAAAAATTGCATTATTTGATGTTAATTTGTTTCAAGCCAATATGGGACTACACCACTAGCGGATCCAGAATTTAATTTTTTGGGGGAGGCTTGAGCCCTTTTTATATATTTAACGATAATTACATTGAAAAAAAAGATACTAACCACCTATATGAAATGGTGTTTAAATGATGAAGTCCTATTAAATGTGATTACACGAACAATAATACTTTAAGAGATAATTTTTTACCATAAACATGATTACATTTTACCATTTTGGGGAGGGCTTTACCGAAGTTGAGGACCAATCAAAACCATCCTTGCCCCAACCTGAATATTTGTATAAAATCTCGTGGATGAAAAAGCTTGAGGTCTTATGTCTTTTCCCGGCCTTGGGAACTGAAGAGGCTTGGCCTACACAGACTGGGGAGATGGGCGTCTTGGCAGAGTTTGGACCTGGGTTTTCACTGGACCAAAGGAGATTCAATCAGCAGATGCAGTGAAGAAACCTACTAACTACACCACTTCATAAATCATACCTAAGTTTTAATTTCCAATAATAGATTTACTAATGTTAAAATATTTCATTGCTGTAATTCTCAAAACAGCCCGCCTGAATTGAATAAAAAACAGTCATTGAATCATGTATTTAATTTCTTGTAAATATACTTCGTATATATTACTTTATTAAACATAAAAATATAATAAGTTTTTAGTAAAAGTTGTTGCAGAGTTAATGCATGTTATCAGGCAGTACTGTAGCTGTTGTAAACAAAGGCAGGCTGGCCTCATATCAGAAAAATATTCCAAATGTCACCAGAATCTTATGTATCATCCAAATCTCCTTGCTCAATCGGGGGTGACGGTCTTCCTCCAAAGCCTGCAGAACATCGTCATCAAGAGAGGAAGTCCTTCCACGACCTTCTTTGTCTTCAAGGCTGAAGTCTCCCTCCCAAAATTTTTTGAACCACCGTTGAACAGTGCATTCATTAATGCTGCTCTCGCCTAAGATTTTATAAATGTTTCTGGCCGTCTGGGTCCCATTCCGGCCGAATTTAAACTCGTAAAACAAAATTTTACGAAAATCACGCGTTGGCATCTTAGTAAAGACTGAATTATTTCTAAGCAGCGAAATGCTATACAGGTAAACAAACATTATCGTTTGGAAGAGAATTAATAAATGTAGGCATTCATACAAATGAATAATCCAATTAAAGTTAACAATTTGTTATATAGAGGGGTATTTTAAAGAAAACTCAAAATCCTGCATTATTTTCCGGACAAGCCAATTGAACAAAAAAAAAAAAAATTATATTTCATATTATTAATCTCGCCTTGTTGATGTTTTAACTTATTTTGTGTGGTCTAAAGCATGTGCCGTTGTTTTTTTTTTTGTACATGCTTGTTGTTCTTTAGGAAAAATGTCAAGAAGGAGAGGATCCGGGATCAGAAAAAACTCAAACAATCGATAATTCCAATGTCTCGACTCATCTTGTTAAGAGCTTTTTCATTTGGGCGAAATAGTTGCACGAGTCAGAAAGCTCTTGTTGAAAAAGATAAAAGTACAAAGTGGTGTAAATTTGGTTTTTCTACATATTATAATCCTCTTCCATATTTATGAACTTGAGATATTGTTATGAATTTAAATAAATTTAAATTAACATATGTTTTTAAAACATCATAATTTATTAGTGTTGTATTCTACGAGTTGGTAACGAATACCAAGGACAAGCAGTGAACAGCCCTTCCGAGGATAGGTCTCTATTACGAGCTAGCTCAAGAACTAGAAGACCTCCCTCATACTTAAAAGACTATTATACCTCTTAAATGAATAAGGTGGGGTGAATGTTATGAATTTAAGTAAATTTAAATTAACACATGTTTTTAAAACATCATAATTCATTAATGTTGTTGTATTCTATGAGTTGAATAAAACCTTACGTTGAAGATATTATTTATTTATTACAGATATCTTAACACGTTCAAATTAAGCTTTTTATATAGAACTCCGAGTGTTTAAATAGACTGATAGAGTTCGGTGTTTCGGTATACCTATTTGAAAGGCTATTTAAGTTTGACTTGTGATTACTCAAAACATGTGTAATATTGATAGCTCTATTTGAGAATATAAAGGGGACCCTACACGGTCAATCGGAATTGCACTAATGACGTTCCGAATTGTCGTGTAAGGTAGTGAATGAAGTACTGATGGTGGTGCGCTGCGGATTTCCGAACATCCGGAAATCAAAGGTTCATTCACGAGAAGTGGAGGGGGGACTGAGGTAAAAGTAGTGGGGAGACTAACCATATTGCTGGATAGGTTAGGTTACCTATGCCTCACAACCATTATAAATTTCTGATTTTCATTATATGTAAATAGTTAAATAATTTTTCATATCCCTTGTTTATAATTTTAAACCATCTTCAACTATTTCTTTTAAATAGTCAAGTGGGCAACAAATTAAAAAAAAAAAAAATGAGGAAACTTCACAATTTACTTTAGGAAAAAAAAAAACTTTATCGTTGTGTATATTTATCAGTTCTTTTCCCATTTTCCTCAACAAATTTATTATTTTCGCAATACCTTTCCTTAATTTTTGTAAGTAGTAGACTTATATTTTACTAACTTTTGTCAAAACGATTTTCTATGAGACTACCTTCTATGAGACTACTACTAGATAGGTTAGTTTACCTAGGTCTCGTTATTAATTAAATAGTTGTTTATATCCCTAGTCTATATTATTATTAATCATTTTCAACTTTTTTTTTTTTAAGTAGTCAAGTAGGCAATAAATTGAAGAGAAAAAGTGGAAACTTCACAATTTACTTATAGAAAAAAAATCTTTAACTGTTGTGTTTATTTGCCATTAATTTTTCCATTTTTCTTAACAAATTGATTATTTTCGCAATACTTTTCCTAGATTTTTGTATGTGTAGTTGACTTATATTTCACTAACTTTGATCTAAACGATTTTCAGGCACTAGGAAGTAATTATTATATCTCCGTTTTTCTCTTGATGCCCAATATTATAAATGACAATGTCCAAATAAGCATATCTATGCTGTTTCTTTGTTTACAACTGAGCTAAATTGGTATCAGCAACGATAAGTAATGATCAGTAATGATTGAACGTGTAAGGGTCTTCATGATCAAAGCGATCGCGGGCAATCTTGGAACTTCTTGTGTCGTTCATTCATGAATTACCGTGTAGGGTCTGCTTAAGTACTTATATGAATAGAGTGGTAAGTGAAAATTGTGTGATGGGCACGCCGCTTCGTGTAAATCTTTCTCATTTTGTTGTACTATGCTGTGGAATACATGTGGGTTGTAAAACATACACTATATTTTACCGAAATTGGCAATAATAATTTCCTAGTTAATAGATATCGATCTCCTTACGATATACCGCAGCTATAAGCCTATTTATTATCGATCCTTTCAGTTAATATTTCGTATTGATGCAGCCATACGATAATGATGTTCTTATCTTGCACTGACTATCGGAGTTATGGCAAGCTCATAAATTATAAAAAAACCCAATATCAATTTTCAACTTTGCCTATAATGTAATTGCTATCTTTTATCACATGTGAATAGTTGTATTGACTTGATGGATTCATGTTCGGTTGATGGTTACTTAAAATTAGAATGCATTAATATTAATTCGCTTCCCATTAAATTCGTTCTTGTTGACCTTGAAAAAAAATATAATAAATTAATGTTTGAATAAAGTTATCTTTGGATTCGGATCATATCTGAGTAGGCTTATTGTGCGGCTTGTACAAAGCTCGAGTGTAACTACAAAGAGTGAGGGATCTCTACCACTATTAAGATGGTGAGTGTTAAAATATTGCCTTCTTGATTATTTAGAATGTAACAGTGTGTGTTATTTCTACCATGCATTCCAATAAATCAAACAATAGAAGTGGAGTTTACGTTTGCTGTTATAGGTTAGCAATGTATACTTCAGGAATGATATAACTACTTAATAGCTTCAAGGATCTAGAAAGCCGTACTAGGTAAAACACAAAGTTCACTCAACGATATGTCAATTGCCGAATATCTTTTGTGTTCTGTTTTCACTGGGAATTAGATAAAAGGGTTGGTAAAGGTTAAAATTCTACATGCTCACTTTAGCAATCCCCAATGATCCCAACTACTGTTATAATGGATCATTTAATAGTTCATAACTTGTGTTATCATCATTATCGAATTAGCCTATTACCAACATATGATAGTTATGAGGTTTTAACTATGCATTAAGTACTTGTAGATTTTCGTAACACATGTCTTCAAGGTTGCAATATATCTGCAAGGTTCAAAAAGGTCTGAAATGAAACATTCTGAATATTTCCAATGTCATGAAGATGTTCGTCTTTTAGATCAGTTGTATCAATTTTTCATCACAATTACTTTGTACGTTAACGGTTTGATCGGCATCTTGAGAACTATATACGTCAGTCGTTCCCACCTCATAGAAATATTTGGTCCATTAAGACAGAATCCATATGCTGATCACCTTCACTCCAACTTTGGGTGGGAAATATATCGTGATAAAAATAGCTTAATTTTATACTTTCACTTACGTATATATGTAATATATAGTAACGGTAAGTATTGCTATCGAGACAATTTTCTGAGTTTTCGACGGAAATACACGTTTTGGGGTACACTGGGTCCAAATAACCTACTCCCGAAAAATGGTCTGTGTTTGTGTATGTTAGCAGTCTAGCTCAAAAACGAAAAGTCGTACAAAACTGATATTGCGTATGTAAGATAGGTATATGCCTTAGACGAGACAGCAACTTTTTCAGCAACTCAAAAACGGCTCCAACAATTTTAATTAAACTCGGTATACCATTTTATAATGAAGGGGTCTTTAATATCAATTAGGTCTTATCCCCATTGATGTCACTTTACAGGGCTTAAATGTTCATATACGTCTTCCTCTAAAGTACCTTTAATATGGTTTATTTAAAAAAAAAATAATCATCTCACGTTATTCAGAGTTACAAAAAAATGCTAAATATAACTTTTGAAAGAATTTGATAATTGAATAAAGGAGAAAAAAATAAAAATGCTTATCCAGGTCGAAAATGAATCTCCGGAAGTACCAGTCAGAAGGTGTACGTATAATATACCCTTGGAAAGCGAAGAATTTTAGAAAAAAACAATATCTAATATAGAAAGTTATAGTAGCCAAAAGAGAGTGACGAAAACATTATAAGTAATAATGTCAGAAATCTAACATTATTTAACGTAAATCACATTAAATGAAAGGAAATTAAATGAAATTTTCTTGCTATATGTAAACTTTTAAATGTTTTTCTAAGATTGAAAAACGAAACCCATTGGCTTTTGGGTTCGACAGTTACGTTGGATGTAACCACATTGGGTCTGTTCCAACAAGCAGTTTTGGACTGTTTTCACTTGTGCAGTACAGGTTTGGTGGGCTTGTTAGGCCCTGGCCACTCAGGATAAGTGGGCAGGGCACTTACTTCCAAAGCTCATGATCACGGGTTCTATTCCAGGTGATAATTATTCATTGTGTTTTATTAGCGACCCCTACAGCCCTTGCATTGCCTTGTTCTCCTCAACAACGCCTTTCCAATCCTCTCTATCAGCGCTCCGTTTTCTCCATTGTCCAATTCCTATCTCCTGCAGATCATCGTCTACATCATCAATCGCTCTCAGTGAAGACCTTCCTCTCCTTCTTTTGCCTCTTGTTTTGCCATTTAATATATATTTTATGGTATCTATCTTCTTCAATCCTTTCTACGGTTCCCTTATACGAGTTGATTTAACATAAGTAAATCAGGTACCCTTAATTTAATAATTACTTTAGAGGAAGCGTGATCTTGGACAAATTACATCCGTACACAACCTTTGACCACGAAACAGTACTTCCTTACATAGTACTGAAACCAAGACACTTCATGGGTTGTATTGTACAAGTTTACAGTATAGTTTTAATTGAAGGTTGAAAGAAAATGAAATAACTTCATCCTTAGGCAGTTAGGAGATCCCCTTATTGACTTTATTAATAAAATAATTTTTTGATATTTAAAGAAAATTGTGGGGGTTTAAGTTGATACTATTGTAGAATAGTTAAGAAATATAAATATTATGTGATACACCAATAATATTAATCTTTTTCCTTATTTTATTGATTTTAGTAAACACCAGTGAAATATTTTAATTAATTATAAGATCTGTAAATAATTAAGTATTAGTTTTTTTCTTGTATGGTATCATATTAGTTAACTATATATTTACACATAACATTTTAATAGATTAGGAAGGAGGAAATGAGAACAGCAGTGTTGAATAAAATTAAGTATCAATCGAAAATATCTGATTTGAAAATTTCTTGCTACCTGGCTGCCTTCAACGCTATCTCGAAAGAAGCACCTCTTCTTCCAAATCCCAAAGTAATTATTTCCTATTTATTATTTACCTTTTCAGAGTTCAATTATTAATAACTAAATGTTAATTCGATTTAAATTTATAAATAGCCAAAACAAATGACTATCCCTAGGTATCGATTTTATATATACATACATATAATGTACATGCATGGTGCTTGTATTGGGCTCAAGTCACCAACTAAAAGTTCAGTTATAAGGTAATTTTACATATAAAATTGTGAGTAAGCTCTCAATATTTTCTCATTTCTGTTTTGGAGGAGGCTTATTATGAATTACAAATGTTTATAGCCACCAAATTTCTGATATAAATAGAATATTTTTTAGAAAATCGTTTTTTTTTTTTTTTAATATTTTGATATACAAGGAACATAAATAAACTAGAATACGCCCCTTACGTTTTTGTTATCTATAATTTTTTCTTCCGGGGCATCCTTTAAGAATGACAGCTCATTATACCAATGAGGACCCCCAGCCGAATGAAATTAATTCCCATTTAATTAAATTAAATTGGGACCGAAAAAGCGTTTCAGTTGAACGTTCTAGAAAAATTCTAAAAATGTAATATAGATGATAAAATCTCATATAAACTTTTCCTATGCAATAAATATAACAAAAATATTATATAATTATTATACAAATTTAACATATGTAATGTTTTATTTAAAAAAATTAATAGGTAAAAAATAAACTTCGTCAACCGGGCAGGACACCGGGTTACAATTCCTACAAGAAATATTTTCTACGGATTTTTCATGAAATTTATTTATTTACTGTAAAATGTCATTAAAGTTGGAAATCTGTATACAATTATTCCCTAGAAGCTGTTTAGTCACTAAAAATAAACAGCAGGAACAAACACTTATGCATATTGGAGTCTATTTATAAGTAGATTGTTTTTCCGCACACAATGGTATGTTGTTTTATCCACATCTGGTCGTAGAACAAGTAGATATATCTTGAACAGTTAAAGAAGAGCAAGCTTAGTTTTTATTTATTTTTTCTCTTTAAAACCTTATTGGACATATCTGACCTATAGGAGAGCGGGATTATTCTGGTTTGATTACTGAACGTATTCTGAAAAGTGTGGGTATGTCGAGATTCATTCCGTGGGTCCGCCAATAAATACATTTAAAAGGCCTGATTAAAACCGCTAGACTCAAGAGTGTTAGAACAGGCAATGCTTTAGCACACTCTGCCTTCACAGCCTCTAAAGCCTAGTACACACTATTAGACAGTCTGCGCGATTTCGGTCTCTGAGACATGTCTCATTTTTTCTATGTACGGACCAATCCCCAATCTACCAACCCCCAGTCTACAGGACTGTTGCGAGATTCAAAATCGCAGGTCTAAAGTCTCCCAATTATAATGGGAGACAATAGGCAACGTTAGACATGTTAACCAACATTTCGACAGTGTGGACATCATTCGGGGTCTGGAGGCAAAACACCCCAGTCTGTCACCAGCTACCGAGTGGCTGGTTCGGTTTACATTTATTTTTCAAATTTGAAAACTTGTGGTCTAACTAGAAAGTTTTATAACTAACTGAAGATTACCTTGGTGTCTCCCAGTCTTAATTTATTTAATAATTTATTACCGAACCTAGGTCCTTATGTGAGCACTTTGCGCATCCGCCAACGTTTATGTTTTCGCGTTCTTTTACTTGTGATTAGCACTAAGCAGGAATTCATTAAACAAAAAAGTATGTCCTCCATGGTGGGCTGCGAAGATGAGACTGAGAAATTTACATCGTAGTGTGGACGCTAGACGAGACAAAGAACAATGTCTCTAGACGGTCTATAGACAAATCGCGCAACAAGACCTAGCTGCGGAAGGATGAGAAAACTAGAGACGAGTGGAAGATTGGTGGAGAAGGTGCTGCCTTTAAATAAAAGGCGAAGGTATACTACAAGCCGAAAGAACCAAAAATATTGTTCTAGCTGAAGTTTTTTTTTATATAGTTTAAAATATATACATATTCGTATTAAACTTTGTAATAAAGTTATCGTTAGTTGTTGTTTTTTTCTTCATTTTCTCTAAATTTTTCCATTTTTATTTTTCTAAATAAATTTTCTATCTTTTTCAGTTAATGATACGTACTTGGTCATAAACTGACGAAGTACATGAACTAAGCTTGTATGATCGAAATTTGACGCGGGTATTACTATATATATATATATATATATATATATATATATATATATATATATATATATATATATATATATATATATATATATATATAAAGTATTAATTTATTTATTTTTTAATTATTTTTAATGATTATTGTAAAAAGTATTATGTAAACAATGAATAATCCAGAAAAAATCATTTATATTGACTGTTATTTTAATTTTAAATGTTTTGTTTTTTGTGTTGTAATTTGTTGTTTTGAGGAATGTATAGGAAAAACGCCACTGAAAGAAGCTTTAGAAGAGATAAATGACACCATACCAAACATTTCGTTACTTAGATTCTACTTGGAGAAGCCTGATGTTTTCGAACTGCATACAGATACACTTACATTGCTGCACTGGCTTCTTGTCAGACTTCACGAGCCACATTTAGTGATCCTCAGAGAACTAGAGGATGTTGTGCTAGATTGTGATTACGAAAAAATAGTAAATAAAGGTATATCTGAAATGAATCTTAATTTCCAAGTCCCATCAATATTTATCTTAGAATGATTATTATTATGAAGTTTAAGTTTTATCTAAATTTTGTCATTGAAGTTACCGGAGACCGGATGAAAAAGCCTGATTTAACCTTGAAGTTCAATTATTGCCCAATGTCTACAGTGAATGTCAATTGGAAAAGTAAGGTTAGGAACAAGAAGACGCATTATGGATACACACCAGTGAGGTTGCAAGACTTGCACTCCGTCATCCACAGAGGTCCGAAGGGACTCGAGAACAAAGGGTGCCTAGGATACGGCCTCACACTCTGCTCCGAGCTTCGCTACGCCATAGAAAATGCAGAAGAGTATTGGGTTTGGGGTACGTATCACGTTTCATTTCAATTATACATTTTATTATATTGTTAACGTTTTGGAACTTGTTCATGTTTTTATATTCCATCTCTTGTCTTTCGAAAATACGGGATTCCAATTTATTTTATAAAACAATGAAACCTTGTATTTTTTCTATATTTCTGTCATCTCTTTTTTCTGTCTTCCTCTCACTCGTCTTTTAGACTATACGGAATTTTCCCTGGCCAGGGAGTGGGGGCAAGGGATTAATGCAAAAGCTAAAAGCCTCTCTCCGCCATCGGGACGTGAACTCGTAATTATGGTATCACATTATCTTCCATTAGGTGCCTTATGTACACGTATTAGCCCGCTCGGCCACCTTGCTCTCTCTATATTTCTATTTAAGAATCAACCTCAATTTTAATTGCGGTAGTTCTTGTCTCCTTTGTTTTACTTCCATAGGGATGCGCCTATTATTTCCTTCCACCCATACCATTTCATGAAGTATTCATTTTTATCCGCAGAGATGAGCAGAGGTAAATCTTCATTGTTGGGGCTGTACATACCGGTAGTTCTCTTTAGCTTGGCTCAAAGGCAATGCATTTTGTGATGACATGTTTTGCAGTTTCCGGGACACCACAAATGTCCAAGATTGTAGTGCCTTTGCACAAGATCCTCCATGTCTGCTGAATAATTGGGAGACTCACTAGTCATGTTTTGACCCAGCTGGCTTCTGGTCGAGACTGGAGGGTGGGACCCTTATGGTAGCCCCCTTAAGAGTTAGTGACCCCCCCCCCTTCTCCCGTCACTCCTCCTGTTCCATTCCTCAACGGTACCTTCTCTCAATGTTGTCTTCCATCTTTTAAGCCGTTCCTCAATCCTCACTCGAAGGTCCTTTGTAATCCCTGCCGAGTCTTCTCTGTTGTAGGCGTGTTTGATAAAATTTTCATGCAAGAGGAAATCGAGAGATATCTCATCTGCTGCAGTCTCGTGAGACACCGTCTTTTATGGTCTGGTGACCGGCAGAAGAGATGTTTTTAGGATAGATGCCAACTGGTTTTCTTTCGATTAGGGAGGTTTAGGCACCACGAGAGAAGTGCATATTACAAGATTCACAGCACCATTCCTTTGTAGATCCTTGGTCGCTGAGTATTTAAAGCACCAAAAGGTCCCACCAACACGACTGAGATTATTTAGGACGACTGTCGCCCTACTTGAGTAGCCCAAGTGAGGTTACCATCTCGTTGAGACTAATCGTTTGTCCCTGTTTCTCCAAGACGATAGGATTTTCCCCCTGAGTCATGCACCTTAAAAGGATTGTTTGGGCTTCGGCAGCAGCCATCCTCGCTCACGATGTACCTAATAAGTTAACACATCTTTCTGCCTTTAGTTTGACCTCTGCTCTGCTATCGGATGTCATCACAGCGGGCCAAGTCATTGACACATGCTGTTGCTATTAACAGCTGCTCTACTAGTACTCCCAAAATCTCATCAAAAACCAATTCCCACAGAGCATGACCTAGAACAGATTTCTGTGGGCATCCCCTCTGAATGATTCACTCCTAATGGTTAGAAACTTCCTCTAATCGTCAGATGATGTCCTGTTGGTGGTTCCTCAGAAACTGCATATAAGTTGATCGCTGTATCATATCCCTGTAAGTGTTGTAGTATGATGACGTTTCGAAAGCGGATGAAATGTCTAAGAGTAACATCATGAAATTCCTTTTCTTTCTTCAACGTTTTTGCGAACTCGCATAAGAGCATCTGTGGTTCCCATTCTTTTACTGAATCCTATTTGCCGTAGATGATTCGCCATTATCAAAATTGATCGCGGGCTGGTTAGTGCCAGGTTCTCTGGGTATTTATCACATAATTTAACTTACAAATTTTAACATTCGTTTTTCTCCCTTCGTCCAATGGGACCGTTTAGTCGCGTGTGCTACAATTTCTTAAACCCGACTACCGAAAAATCCCAAACTTTCTTGGCCGTTTATCTGAATAAATACCGGCCAGTAATAGTTTTTAATATTGAATATAATTATTTTTTAATTAACGAATCGCAATATTTATTTGATTAATAGTGTAATTCTAGGGAAAAGTAGTTTGGCCTCCAAGTTATCAGCTGTATTGGCAGTGGAGTTCGTTGATTCTTCCCATGCTGTACTGAGGCTGGCACGAAGTCAACCCGTCTATTTTATTATTTCAGAACCAGAGTTTGCGAGAATAAGGTATTTTAATAATAATTTTGTATGACTTAATTTGTTAGTTTGTTAGCGAATATATCGATAATTAATAATAATTATAATTAGACTTAGCTATCTCGAAGGTTCGATACCGATGTCACCAATCGCTGTCCACATTTTGCGTCCACCGGGCGCTGTCCAAACCATATTTTTCAGATCAGCCTTAATACAATCTCTCCACATTTGTTGCTCTACCTCTCAGACGCTTCCCAGTTGGCACAGCATGTTCTAACTTTTTATAAATTTTTTTTTTCACCACTCAGCCCAGAAATTTTACATACCCATTTTATTCGCCTCGTACAGTTCGCAAAATTCGGCATTGTGTAACCATCTAAATTCTTCGGTCGACGCATCCTTCTTCGTATATTTCTTTTATACGTTTTGATTTACGACTCAATTTATCTAAACTTGGTGCTACCTTCTCCGTCAAATCAAAGCTATAACACTTTTTATTTATGCTTTAAAAACAATACATCATATCACAGTTAAAGTTTTGAGCACTCATCAGAAATGCATTTTTTTTTTTAAATAGTTATTAAAATAATGTATTATATTCTGATTTTCATAAAGCATAAAATAACCTCCCAATAAACTTGTTTTTTTTTAACACATCTCGACTCTTTTAATTTCTACCATTAGTCTTCTCGCAGTATCGGGGCTGTCCTTGGGGATAAGCTGTGATTGTTTGGTTCTCTTCTTATGTAGATGATATCCAGGGAGCACCTGGTTTATAATAACCGGACGCGATCCCAAACACTCCCTCTTCATTAGGAAGGTTGGCAACCTTTTGCAGACTTCTCTGTCCTGTTGTTTTTTTTTTATGGGATAAAATTATTAGCCCGGTGCCCAACCACCAAATCTAGAGGACCAAAGGAGCTATGTTATCAGACACAGGAGTCGCTCATCTTCCTATGAATATCAGGATGGGGACGTTACCGTCCCCATACCTATGTCAGGTTGCCGGGCAACGGCGGTGCAGTGCACACGCGTTAGCCTGTTCGGCCACCCCGCCCATACAAATAAAATTATTCACAAAGACCTTATGAATCTCTTTTATGAAGACTTGACCCGAAATAAATACTCTTGAATTCCAAATTCTTTGGTCATCCCGCCCCTCTAGTTCATAACCTTTCACCTAAAATAATTCCTGACAATTCACAGAGGCGTTTGAAAAGAAGATGGGCAAGTGACCTTCTAAATTAATCTAATCATTGAAGTGTTAACAATGGATAGCTTCTTCAAGAGTTCTTATAATGTTTTATGTTCTTATAGCAGATTTATTTGTATTTATTTATACAGCTGTAAATATCAATAAATGAATAAAATCAAAAAAAGAACACACTTGGCCATCACGACATCACCTCATTTCGTGTTGCCTACAATAATTGATGAATGAAACTAAGGCAATAAATGAATGGAATGTAAAGTAATAAAATCTCTATTTCAGATATCTCCTCCTTTGGATTAAGAGCCCTCCAGCGAAATTACCAATCTTGCAGAAATGTTTGACAATCGATATGGGAGTCCATCAAAGAATACTTACCAACATGCTTCTCATATTGATATTTCTTCTATTGCCCAAACGTAGCCCAACGTTCCTTCAGAAAGGTATTGAGAGAACATTTTCACTGTTGAAAGATCGTTTTTTTCATCATAATCAATGATTATCTTTGTACAATAAAAGTCTATTCTTCTAAAGAGGTATTAATTCTGTTTTATTATTTAGTATCATTGTTCTAAATCATCCATATTTATCAACTATATAATGACGATAGCCGTGGGATGTGAAGCAGTAGGTCGGAAAAAGCGAGTTCAATTAGGTCATTAAAATTCTATTAATTAAATTATTTTGTTATATGTAGTAAAATACTTTTCTGCTTTTTATTTTACACTGTCAATAAGTTTTAAAAATAAAGCTTAGAAAATGTATTTCCGAAAACTGGATAAAAAGAGCAAGGAAATTGAAGTAACCATGGAACAATATATTTTGGTTTTGGGCACTATTTATAAAAAATACCAAAGGGAAGTTAGTATTGATGATACTTGTATTGGAAGGAACTAGTCCTGGTATGACTCATAAAATAGTGGTGGGGTCGAAATAACGTAACGGTTTAAAATAACGTACCTGAAAGTAACATTTACCAGCATAATATCGTTATTGAAATCATTGCTTTTCACCCTGGGGTATCTGTTCACTCATTCTACTCATAACGGGTGAAATGATGGCGAAGAGCGTGAGAATCACTTATAGTTTAGTGTGATTCCAGGTTAGGTAACAGCACTAGGGGATCCAAGATTTAATTTTGGAGGAGACTGCAGCCCGAAAGATTTTTTTTCATAAAAATAACGATCGATAATTACTTCAGAATAAAGAAAAGGAAGAAATTAAGTATCTATATGAAATGGTGTTTAAGTGGTTCTTGAAGTCCAATTAAACGAACAAGAATACTTTAAGAGATAGTTTTTAATATTTTTTTTTTGTAAAACATGGTTATATTTTACCATTTTGGAGGGGTCTTCAGCCCGAAAGCCTCTCCCCCCCCCGTACATCCGCCTGTGCGTAACAGTGATTTGTTTGTGATATTTATTCTTAAGCGACCTTGTCTCCGAATAAATTTTATTGTCTATTCTATTCTATTTAGGTTTGGATTTGGCTAATTAATATTTATTGGTATTAGTTATATTAAATATCAAAACTGACATAATTTATTACCAAAAGTCTCCAATAAATTAAGGGTGCTTCACCCTTATTGATAAAATAATGGTTGTATATCCATTAATCTTAGGATAATTCCAGTTAGTAAGCTTCACCCCTTAACAATATAAACAAGAATTTTCATCTAATAATCTATGTTATAGTTCCATATGAATTATTTCACTATAATTATCTCCATATACGCAGACTTTCCATTCTCTTTGAGGGGGGCGATGACATCTTCGTCCTCCCCCCATAAAAAAGGTCTCAAGAGCTTATGTTGTATATAAAAATTATGAGTGATGATTAACATACTTATTGGAAAACGAACTTTATCATACACTCATTTGTACTCATCACTATGTATATTACTCTTAGTTTTATTTTGTTTTAGATATATATTTTTTTTTTCTAAACTAGGTTTTGCAAAATACATATCTGATTTAATAATTTATAGTATTACAAGTAAAGTCAATGAGTAGTGTGACAGATAATGAATACACAGTTTACTAAAATAACCTGTAACTGGAACACCATATAATTTTTTTTTCCTCTCCCTCTTGGCTCCCTCGTCGGCACCGGGACGCGAACTCGTGACTTTTTATATCATTTGATTGATATATCAGGTTGCCGGGCAACGGCGGTGCTGTGCACACGCGTTAGCCCATTCGGCCACCCCGCCCACGATATAATTTGGTATTTGTTAATCGGTAACCTGTTATCTGCTAACCAGTTACCGCTATGAACTACTAGAGTATTTCTCACATTCCCACTTCCAGTGACACTCAACTAATTCAGGTGGGAATCGAACCCACAATATTAAGAACCGATCAGTCTGAACCCCACGTACTCGGCCTTGGTAGTGATGATGAAGATAAAGATAAGAACATCACTGACCAAGTCTTGAAAAGAAAAGTTAATTTTTTATTTTCAATCAGCTCTGCTATGAATGAAATTTGTATTTTCAATAATTTTTCGGAACTAGAACTTTTTTCTCTTGGAGATTAATTCTAAAAATAATAATTGTACTGGACAAATTGGAGAAAGTATAGGTAATTCATTCAAGATAAATTATATCTGTATTATAAAAACAATTACCACCAATTTCACATTTAATTTAATAAATTAAAAAAATAAAATATAAATAACAATGTACTCAGAACTTTATTTTAAGAGGATAGGTAGAAATGATTAACTAACTTTTCTAAATATACATTGTAATCTGAACTTTGAAACTGAAGAGACATCAAGATTAATTTATAGAATCAGATTACATTTAATTATTATAGTAATTTATTTGGAATACATTAATGCGAATCCGTGCCCCGGAGATAAACAACACCATATCGATTTTTTAATTAAATAATTCAGTAACAAAGAAAAAAAATTTAATGGCTCAAAGTTATATAACATTGGTTCACCTGAACATATACAAAAATGGACATGCTGTATTTTACCTCCGGTGTACAGAAATAATGTTTTTTAAACATTCTTGTTAAAACATATTAGGAGAAACACATATTTGCCATCTGCAAAACACTTTTCAAAAGAAGCAAATCCAACAGAAGTTAAGTATCTTGGTTACCACATAGGAAGTCGTGACACACAACACTATAATAGTGATTTCCTAACCTAAAAAGCATCTCAAAAGAAAGTTGCCATATTGAGTATTTAGGGCAAAGACACATTGCATCAACGCAGAACACACAACCTCCCCTACACTTTTCAATGTGCTACAAACTTTACTGCAATCAAAAATTATACTAAGCTATTATTAATTCATACATTTTGAACCTCTACAACCTGTTCATTCATAAAATGAATGGCACGAGGCACCTATTAGCTATTAAATATTAATACAGAACATCAATTCGTGTTCTCGTTTGCAGTTCAAATATTGACCCTACTGCCTGTACCTTGGGATATATTCGTTTCTTTTTTTTACTATTTTCGTGCATAACATAAGCTATTAGCAAGAGTAATATCCCGAATCCAACTAAAATCCAACAAATATTCATTATTTGTATCTCTCGGTGAATTAAAGTTTTTACTTTATCTATATGGTGACGTCTCCTTTCTTCAATAATTTTCTGAAACAAAATATTTAAAGCATACGTTTAGTTATCTCTCTACTATATAAACACGTTTTAAGTATATGTCATTTTTTATCTTATTTTAGTATTAGGAGCGTAGGAGGTTACAGGAGCTCTCCTATCTATATGAATAAAATAAAGATTTTGTCTGTACATTGAATAGAATCAACCCGTTTTATGATATCTCTTCTCCGTTTCATACATTGCAGACACCAAATCCACTTTTTAAACAATTTTTGTCTGTCTGTATATTCGCATTGCAACGAAATTTTGTCAGGAGTAAGCTCAGTAATGGCTTATTGTATACTTCTGAAATTTGGACATCATATTAAAGTTTGCTTGACTTAAAACATAGGCTTTAAATGAAAACAAAATATTGAGTAGAACCAAAGTTACAAATTCTTGAGTAATTTGTCTAGAGATCCCAGTGAATGTTGATAATAAATGTTAATAATAAACGTATGTTTATAGGTTAAAGATCATTCATATAAATAAAATAAAGGTTTTGTCTGTACATTGAATAGAACCAACCCGTTTCATGATATCTTTCCGTTCCATACATTACAGACACCAAATCCACTTTTAAAAGATTTTTGTCTGTCTGGATGTCCAAATTGTCCAACTAAATTTTGTCAGGGGTAAGCTCAACAATGGCCTATTGTAGAGTTCTGAAATTTGGACATCATATTAAGGTTTACTTGACTTAAAACATGGGCTTTAAACGAAAACAAAATAGTGAATAGGACCAAAGTTATGAATTCTTGAGTAATTCGACTAGAGATCCCGACTTCGATTCCCATCCAAACTTTACTATCGCGAGCAACATTTAAAAGTTGTACTATTCAATCACATCTCGACGAGAAAAATCCGAAATCCCCAACATCTGTAACGCGTTGTCGCTTAAAACTCGTGTAAAACAGCCATTTTTCAACTTTGTACGATCTTCCTCTTCAAGGTGCTATTCGATTCACCTTCCGTAGCCTAACAAATGTATACCTTGTTATGATTAACCAAGAGGGATTAGCCGAAAATCAGAAGAAAACCCCTCAAAATTAAAATTAGCCCCATCCCCCTACCCAATATTATGAAATTAAATTTGGATCCCCCCATAATTCAATATTCATCCCAAAAAAAGATTCTCAAATTTTAACTATACACCCATCAACGATGGGCACATCAGCTAGTTAGCTCTATAATTAGCAATAATTACACATCTGTTCATTTAATTACGTATGTGTTGAGCTCCTGTTACCTCCTAATACTCTTCTAATACAAAATAAAGATTTTAAACTAAAAGTTTGTACGGAAAATGATATTTATTCATCTACAGGTGGTAGTTTGATTTTACCTAGGTGACAGCAATTATTTTTCAATCTATATATTTCCCTTTGACTACAATATATTAATTATTATATTATGTATAATATTATTTATATTATATTGTGATATAATTATAATTATTATGAAATAGAAAAGTAAGCACAATACAACGAACAATGAAAATATTAGAAATAAAAATCTTAAATTATTATTAGGCTTATATGAAGCTGGACAAGTTCAATATATATTAAAGTTACAATTGGTAATAAGAATAATTATAATTATATAATAATATAAATAGGCAATAAGGCGCGATGTATAATATGGATTTTTAAGGATGTCCAATTTATTTCATGTTTGACAAAAAATAATACAATCTGAACTACAGAATACATATAAATTAAAGTTAGACAATTTGAGCAACGAGTTGTAAAATTAAATAAACACGTGTATAATTTTTTAAATGCTATACGCATTTCCTTTCCACTTGGATCGTAAGATAATTTGTGCACAAAATCGAGAAAAAGGATGGCCTGCAAAATATTTGGCCGTTTGACCTATATAACCTCTTTATTTTGGTATCGTCACGCCAAACAGCTC